CACAATTGCTTGTGTGTCTAGAACTATTGCATCTCATGAAAGTATATATCCCACTGTCCAGAAAGAAGCACTGAGTATTTATTTTTCAGTAAATAAGTTCTACCAATATCTTGTAGGGAATAAATTCATATTAAAAACTGACTGCAAAGCATTAGTGTCACTTTTTGGTGAAAATAAAAGCATACCTCAGATGTCAGCTAACAGATTACAACGTTGGTCAGCTTTTCTATCAATGTTCAATTACACTGTTCAATATATTAAAGGTTCTGATAACATTCTGGCAGATTATTTCAGTAGAAATCCAGTAGTAACAGAGAATTCTGAAGGTGATCAAGAGAAAGGATTATATATTAATTTCACTGAAGCACAAGAATCATGGCTTTTGAAAAATGATGAAATAAAAAAGAAAACAATTGAAGATGAGGATCTCTCAGAAGTAATGAAATACATTAACCAGGAAAAATGGCCAAAAATAGTTGATGGTAAACTGAAATCATACTTTGACAAACGTTTTGAACTAACTGTAGAAAACGGGATAATTCTATGGGGTCATCGATTAGTGATTCCAAAGGTTTTGAGGAAACAAATATTAAATGAATTGCATTCTGGCCATTTTGGAATAGTTAGAATGAAGTCTTTAGCAAGATCAGTAGTATATTGGCCAAATATCGATTCGGAGATAGAGGAAATTGCGAAATCATGTTTAGCTTGTATATCAAATAAAGATAATCCACCAAAAACACAATTGACTCCATGGCCAATAACAAATAAACCTTTTGACAGAATACACATTGACTTTCTAGGGCCTTTAGATGGTAAAAACTACCTAATTATAATAGATTCATTTTCAAAATGGATTGAAATATTTCAAATGAAACTAACAACTTCATATGAAACGGAAGATAAGTTGAGAAAAACCTTTTCAAGGTTTGGCATTCCTAAAACACTAGTCAGTGACAATGGACCTCAACTAACGAGCAAAAGTTTAAAATCATTTTTGAGTAAAAATGGCGTAAATCACATACTCACACCACCTTACAATCCAATGAGTAATGGTGCAGCAGAAAATGCTGTAAAAACATACAAAAATAAGATCAAAACAGCACTTTCAGATCCTAGAAATTCAATGTTCCAATTCAAACCATAATATCTAGATTTCTGTTCGCATATAGAACAACACCACATTTGGTGACAGGAAAAACACCATTTTTTCTAATGTATGGTAGGGAAGCAAGAACAAGATTGACACAGTTAACAGAAAACATAGGATATAAAATACCAATAGATTTTGAAACAAAAGCTGAATCCGAACAACAAAGACAAATACTGAAATATGGGGGCAGAAACAGAGCGTTTAAAGTAGGAGATGAGGTACTAGTTAGAGATTACACTAAAATTAATCAAAAAAATTGGTCCCCAGCGCGTATAACAAACAAAATCGGAAAATCAACGTACATTTGCAAATTAAAATCTGGTCCAGTGTGGAAAAGGCACACAAATCAAATACAGCTATGTCAACATTCCCAGGATGTGACAGGAGATCAGGGCGATGAAAAGGAAATAGGGAATAGGAATTTTAAAGAAAATCATAGCAATAAAGATGTTGATTATTTTATAAATATGCCTTGTCCAACCAACCAGGTTTTGCCTACTACTAAGGAAAATGAAAATCCTGCAGTTCAGAGGCGCCACTCAGGCGAATTGAACCATAACTTTCACTCAAGTAATACTTCTCAGTGTGATGTTTCATCCAATTCTGATTTAAGCTCACCTACAGGTTCACCAGTACCTACTGATGAAGGTAGCAACATGTCTGATATTTTACCTATTTCTAGTAGAGACAAACCCACGGATCCAAAGGAAGAGTCATGCATTTCGACTCGGAATTTTGGAGCAGGGAGTAGTAGCGAGAACTTTAGGAGAGAGAGTAGACCAAAGAGAAAAATAAAAAAACCTGCGAGATTTGATGTTTATGTATCCGATGAGGACTTTTTGTCAATGTCTGAGTAATGTAATAGTATATTCTTGTTTGTTTACATACATGTAAAAATTGTCCTTATATTATGTAAAAACTTCAGTGTTCCATTTACATAAATGTAATGTTGTATTTTATTATTGGATGTTCGATTGTAAAAAAAAAATGTACTCCACAATCTTCAGAATATAAGAGAGAATTGAATCAACTGCCAGGAATCACTAACAACAATGTTCAAAAGCTCAGAAATTATTTTAGGATACTGATATCAATTTTAAACAGAAATATGTAGAAATGAAACATGAGGACACACTTAAAAAAATCAGAATGAAAATTAGGATTCAGTCACATGACCACACAGTAAACTAAAAACATGTCTTAAGAATAGATATATATATATATACATAATTGAGGGATTGTAATAAATCAAAGAACTTTAATTTTGAAACAGTTATGTAACAAGTTAGGTGTGGGGGTGTGATGTACTGCCACTACTGTGGCAACAATGCAATGTATGCGCACAAGCGCCACCTATTTCCGTTAGATTAGAAAAGTAAGAATTGAGGAAAGGAACTCAGTCTCGCTACGCTCTCTCTACTAGTATGTATGTATGTAATGTCATAATGTAAAGTGTCTGACGGATATTCAATAAAATAGAAAGTGCTAGTAAAGTAATGGTTTTATTGCTAGTCTAGTACAGTACAAGTTCAACTTTCTTTGATTCGGCTGATTTCTCAAGGGCATTTCCGCGCATTCCTGTACCAAAATGCTGAGCTTGGTCTTGGATGACAGATATATAGCCTTGAGTGCTCTGTCTTCGAACAGAAGTATATATAGATCTTCTGCTCTCTGGCCCCTCTTTCACCTCTTAACTCTCTGCTACGATCAGGATGACGAACATCTCTGCTTGGAAAACTTTGGTGTTTTTCCTAGAGCGTAGATTTCTCGTATATCTCCCTTCAAGATATGAACCCCTGCGCCCAAGGCCTGTTTATTAATCATCAGGCAGGATCCGTATATATGTGTAACCATGAACGTATAAAAGATGTGTAACCTTCTACAGTTGTGACCCACTTCTAATGGAAACACCCCTGTATCTTACGTAATGGTGAGGTAAGGATCCTGAAATTAGCTGGAGCGAGAGATATATAAAAAATGCACTCTATGACCAAGTGATATACACTGCTCGTCAACCAGCCATATGGAACCACCCCAGTTTCCGGAAAATGATATTAGGAGTCAAAATAGGTTGAAAATCACTTCGGATTCGGAATCAGGACGCCCAATTCACGAACTATTCATAGTTTTCCTAGAAAATTTTCAGTTCAGAAAAATTGAATTTTGTCTCACTTCTTATGGAAGCACCCCCGTATCTCACGTAATTATTGAGGTAGGATTCTGTAATTTGCAGAAGGAAGGGAAAATCCATAGATAAAGTCAATTACGTAAGATACGGGGGTGAGTCCGTATAAAGTGCGACAAAATTTAATTTTTCAGAACTGGAAATTTTCCAGAAAAAATATTAATAGTTACTGAATTGGGCGTCCTGATTCCGAATTTGAAGTAATTTTCGACCTATTTTGACTCCTAATATCATTTTCAGGAAATTGGGGTGGTTTCATGACTGTTGGCGAGCAGTGTATATCACTGAAGATGACCCCACTTGGTAATACAGTGCATTTTTGGTATGTTGCTCGCTCCAGCAAATTTCAGGATTCCTACCCAACGATTACATGAGATACAGGGGTGTTTCCATTAAAAGTGGGTCACACACTGTACCTATACATATATTAGGCTCCCTAGGCGAACCTCCACTGCATGTATTCCTTTACCATTCTCTGCTTGGAATAGTAATATTGAACTTCCAGGAGGAGTGCGCCGCGTTGCAGCCACATCTCGTTGGAGCCACATTTCGTTGCAGACACATCTCGTTGCAGCCACATCTCTTTGGAGCCACATTTCGTTGGGCCCACAGTCTCAAAGCTGCGCTGTTGCCACAAGGTCCCTTATTTTACTGAGACAGATATTGTGGCTCTAACGAGACATTGCGGTATACTTTCATCTCGTTCAAGCCACATTTCGTTGCACCCACATCTCGTTGGAGCCACATTTCGTTGAAGCACAATTTCTATAAATGTAACGACAAATTCGATCTTTCGTTCCAAGGTAAATAACCAATACCCTTAATTGGTGCAGAATCAAGTTAATAGAAAATTTCCGGCCAAGAGCTTCGCTCACGACCGATCCTGAAATAATATCATTGAAATAGCGAATTACTATCAGCCTCAACAGCACGGTATAAATGCCTCCACAGTACTTTTTTCAGCGAGGAAGGATAAAAAAGAAGACTACTTTTTTAAAACCATCTAACCTTACTCAGCCTGAATGAACCTTCTTCCTAAAAAGACAGTACTTTTTTCAGGAAGGAAAATATCCTTCTGCACTACTTTTTTAAACCAACTAACCTTACTCGGCCTAAATGAGCGCTCGCAGACTGTCATTTATTTTATTTTTTGGCTTCACTTGGAGATCCTTGTTATCCGTATATGTTTAGTAGGTATATGGTAGTCACAGAGATGTAGTCACCTTGCCAATTGAAAGTGTGGGCCCAACGAGATGTGGCTGCAACGAGATGTAGCTGCAACGAAATGTGGCTCCAACGAGAAATGGGCCCAACGAGATGTGGGGGCAATGAAATGTGGCCCCAACGAGATGTGGGTGCAAAGAGATGCTCCCATCTCAGCCTCTCCTGTACTTTATTTATTTTTTTGATGATGTAAATACAATCGGGGCGCCACTGCTTTTTCGGCTAACTCCGGAAATTCTCGCTGGTATCTTCGTCAAGTATGACAGTTTTGACGTTTCCAGTTTTGATATGGACCAAATGGGACCAAGGGCAACGTTCACGCGAAAACTTAAGAGAAGAACTATTCACCAGTCACTACTGTCATTTTTATCTGTCAAAAAAATTGTAGGTTAAATTTTTTGCTAAAACAAGAAAGTTGAATTCAATTTAAATTTCGATATGGGAACTTGTAGTGAGTACATAAAAAGAATTTTTCCTACCATAGACGATGATCTCAAGCAGTACGTTGAAGGTATTTGTAAAGTTGTAGTTTCTCGTAATTGTAATGAAAATAATGTTCACACTCACAGGTGTACTGGCCAATGGTGCTGATGACTTCGAAGATATTGAAGAAGTCTATGAAGCAGTTGGAGAAGTCTTACAGGAAGTATCAGCTGATAAAACCGAGGAAGATATACGGTGAATACATTATCATTCACCCATGTGCCTACCCCGCTAGAACTAATAGACTAATTATTTTTTTGCAGGCTGATATGTGGGAAATTGTTGGAAATAATGAAACCTAATAAAACTAGAACTAATAATGGGCCCATAAAGATCTTGAATGCACCTGTACATTTAGGTTCCATAGTTGACAACAGTGATAATACTATTGAAGAAATCAAAAGTATTTGGGTAGTACAAAGAGATGACTCTCTAGTGAGTATAAGGAAGATTCATAAATTATTATCAAATGCTCCAAACTGATTCATAATATTATTATTTTTTCACTGATGAATAATTCTTTTATAAAATATAAACTGATAGGTAAATATTGATCTTCAGAAAGTGGATTCCAGAAAATTAGAAAAAGCTCAAGCCAAACTGCAAGAGAAACAAGATAAGAGAACTAAAGAAGTTAAATATGTTGCTCCTCCAAAGTTGCAAACTGCTTCAGCATCTCAAGTTACCAGCAAAAAAGAAAGCAAACTTGAAGCAAAAGGAAATAATAGAACTCAGGATATCAGGATAGAGAATTTTGATGTTGCTTATGGAGACAGGTGTGACTTCTATTCATATTTCTTCAATGCAATTATCCAAGATTATTCACCAAACAAATATAATCATTCTTCAGTATTTCTAAATAATACAAAATGAATAATCTCAAAGTATCAGCTGAGCAAATTCAATAAGTTATGTTGGGTCATTTGAGTTATTTATTCAATATCCCCTGAGATAGGTTCTATACTTCCTGTGTAATATGGAATTCAGAAAATTTATGTTTTTATTAATATGTTCAAGTATTCTCCATGTCTCCAATATATGATGGAAGGTATCATTGAAACAACTAATTTTTAATCTGAATAATACAACATTTTCAGACTGAGTAATACTTACCTTGTTTAGATGTATGACAAATTGATATTCATCTAACAGGTCATGGAAAGATAATTCTGAATTGAGAAAACACAATCACAAATTTGTGATGAGAGGCCTGTGAAAATAACAAATTGCCATCACTCAAGTGAACCCTTTGATTAGGTATGAAAGTATTGAAAAGGAATATTCTCAGATATATTATGACCATGAAAAAAAATTGATACATATCCATAATCCATAATATATCTGAGAATCCTTTTCAATGCTACTTACTTATAATACAAGTATTTCAAACTGAATGGAAAATATCTTCTCCATAGTATTTTGAGATATACCTGCTCTCATCTTAACATCCCTTGTCCTTGAAAAATTCAAGATGTTAAATAGCCAACAAGGAAATGTTTTTTCTCAGAGTTCTTCTTCAAGGAGCAGATATGACTTTGGCATGTGGTAGGAGGTATGGATTAGTAGGGAGAAATGGTTTAGGCAAAAGTACCATGTTGAGAATGATATCTGGTGGCCAATTGAGAATACCATCACACATATCTATCCTTCATGTTGAACAAGAAGTGAGTTTGATTTCCATAATATATATGTTGATCTTATCATACACCCATGAAAAATTGCAGAAATAAGTTTATGATGATGAAAATAAATTAATAGAAATAATGTTACTGAGAAAGAATTAATTGATGACATTGCTTTAACTGAAGTATTCTGAATAAAGTGTTCTGTTGATTTTTCAGACTACAAGTTCATGATTATTTTATGTATATGATTCAATCAGATCTTGTATTTTGATTACTCGGTATGAATGTGAAAAAAATGCAAGAATTTTGGTTTTTCTGAATTTATCAGGATACCAATATGATGACTCAAATCTATGAAAGTTTTTATGAATCTACTGTACTACTACATGATGGTTTCCTTATTTCACCTCATATTAATTTCTTGTCAAAATTAGTTATTTGTTCTCAGAAATAATTTTTCTATTCCATTTTATCTAAACTATCAATTTCATTTTCCATTTTTAAGGTTGTAGGAGATGAAACTTTAGCTTTAGATAGTGTACTAGAATGTGATACAGTTAGAGAAGAACTATTGAAAAAAGAAAAAGAAATCAGTGCCTCCATTAATGCAGGGTGAGTTTAGGCTATTGATTTTATTAGTTTTAGTATTGCAATTTCTTAATTCAACCAGTGAGCCAGTTACAACAGGATACCTTACTCTTTACTTTTCTGTTATTATTGCCATGCATTGGCGCCGATTCTGTGGGAACAATAAAATACATGTTTCCATAGACATTTGGAGGCACCAGCACCAACCTGTTTGCATTTCTACTGCATTATAATTATCTTCCTAGTGCTTATGATATACTATATGTTAGCATATTTTCTCCTAAACCTATTATAATTATCTTCCTAGTGCTTATTTTATAATATGTATATGTTAGCAATGTTAGCATATTTTTTCCTAAACCTATTGTTGATTTTTCTTTAGATCTATGTCACAGATTCTATATGTAGGAAATTCACCATGTTCTAGCAGCAGGAGACACAGTGATGCATTGAAAGTATTTCAACCTCTTTTGATGTCTTTCAGAGTTTTTGAACATTAATCAGAAAATAGTAATGATAATAATGCATATTACAGGAGACATTCACTTTGAGAATTGAGAAACTATCTTTGACTAGATACAAGTAACGTTTTGAAGAATGTTCTACTTTTTTCTTGTAACGCCATTCACGGGATTGGCCAAATGTTTCTCATAGACTAATTTGGGTTTGGCTGGTAACATGTTAAATATTGCTGAATTCGATACGTTTGCTATATCCGATGGGGTATCGCTAACAATATCATGATGAACATCCATCTAATGACAATTAATTGAAGCAAATAATGAACATTCTATGAATGTACCAACAGATAGTTTCTATATTTATAATAATGACACTAATGACAGGCCAAATAACTTGACACATCAGAGAGGATCTACACTCATATGCCACCACGTCTATCTGTAAATGTAAAAAACTTCACCAACGATAAAATTTCCGCAAAATTCTCAATCACATGGTTTGCACTAATACAGTAGTTTTTTGTGGTGAAATACTTGTACAATATAGTTATTAATTATACAAGGGAAAAAAGTAGTAGATTTTAGCTCCAGATTGTGTTGTTAAGGGGGACAAACAACCGTGAGCTAAAATCTAATATTTTTCCCCTGTAAAATGCACTGTTTTTTTCTGTGTCAGGAAAGAAGATGAATCAATATTGAGAATATATTACATTATATTAAAATCAGAAAATTATTGACATGAAATTTAAAGTTTACAACAGGAATTATACCTGCTTTGCAGGCATCTTTCTGCCGGCAGATTTATCATTTTTCTGAAATAATCAAATAACTATCATTCTATATCTGTGATTTGATTTTGAAAAAATTGCAAACTTAGTTGTTTAGATATTTACGTGACCGCGAGGTGGAGTTGAATATAAAAGGACTTTCAGTTCTTTCTCGGAGACGGTGTTATTGGCTTATTTTTCGGAACTAGCACCACAAGCCATCAACAGTGTATGGGTGTTTCACAGGTAAAGGGAAATATTTCAATGGTAGATAGGGGTCACCAAGGTGGTTCTGAGAATACCATATTTGATAGGTCTTAGAGTTTTCATAACGGAGATACAGGGCGATTTATCGATTTCGAATAATTATTCATTCGTCTATAAGTATTGAACTACCCAGTAAATTTTTCTAAAATTTTGGTATGGAGCTTAAACTTGGGACGTTGAATGCATTCACCTATCGGGCGAAGTGAAAATCCAGGTTCGGCTTCAGGAAAAATTTACATTTATTCGAAATATTAAAATGACACACTGTATGTAATAATTGACAAAGTTCATCAAAGGAATCGTGAAGAGGAGAAAAAACTGAACTAGATTTGATGCTTTTTGTTTTCCCACCACCAATTCTCATCGTAACAATCATAAACAGGAAGCTAAAAGTATGTCAATTTCAAGAGTATTAAAATTCTGAAACCACTTGCAATTATGATTATTTGATATATTCTTGTTGAATGATCGTTCGAAAGAATTTACTTAGTCTCACAGTCTTTATAACAGAGATACAGGGTGAATTATCACTCGTCCATAAGTATTAAACTACCCATCGCAGTAATATTTTCTCAAATTTGGTATTGAGCTTACTTGGGACGATGGATTCATTGACCTATCAGGCAAAATGGAAATACAGGTTCAGCTTCAGGAAAAGTCTCATAGTCTTTATAACATAGATACAGGGTGAATTATCGAATTATAATTCCGCCTGATAGGTTAATGAATCCATCGTCCCAAGTAAGCTACATACCATACTTGAGAAAATTTTACTGGGTAGTTTTATACTTATGGACGAGTGAATAATTATTCAAAACCGATAATTCACCCTGTATCTCCGTTATAAAAACTGTGAGACTTAGTAAGTTCTTTCGAGCGATTTTTTGACTGAAATATATCGAATAATAATAATTGACACTGGTTTCATAATTTCAATACTCTTCAAATTGACATACTTTCAGCTTTCTGTTTATGATTGTTACGATGAGAATTGGTGGCGGGGAAACAAAAAGCATCAAATCCAGTTCAGTTTTTCTTTCTCGGAGACGGTGTTATTGGCTTATTTTTCGGAACTAGCACCACAAGCCATCAACAGTGTATGGGTGTTTCACAGGTAAAGGGAAATATTTCAATGGTAGATAGGGGTCACCAAGGTGGTTCTGAGAATACCATATTTGATAGGTCTTAGAGTTTTCATAACGGAGATACAGGGCGATTTATCGATTTCGAATAATTATTCATTCGTCTATAAGTATTGAACTACCCAGTAAATTTTTCTAAAATTTTGGTATGGAGCTTAAACTTGGGACGTTGAATGCATTCACCTATCGGGCGAAGTGAAAATCCAGGTTCGGCTTCAGGAAAAATTTACATTTATTCGAAATATTAAAATGACACACTGTATGTAATAATTGACAAAGTTCATCAAAGGAATCGTGAAGAGGAGAAAAAACTGAACTAGATTTGATGCTTTTTGTTTTCCCACCACCAATTCTCATCGTAACAATCATAAACAGGAAGCTAAAAGTATGTCAATTTCAAGAGTATTAAAATTCTGAAACCACTTGCAATTATGATTATTTGATATATTCTTGTTGAATGATCGTTCGAAAGAATTTACTTAGTCTCACAGTCTTTATAACAGAGATACAGGGTGAATTATCACTCGTCCATAAGTATTAAACTACCCATCGCAGTAATATTTTCTCAAATTTGGTATTGAGCTTACTTGGGACGATGGATTCATTGACCTATCAGGCAAAATGGAAATACAGGTTCAGCTTCAGGAAAAGTCTCATAGTCTTTATAACATAGATACAGGGTGAATTATCGAATTATAATTCCGCCTGATAGGTTAATGAATCCATCGTCCCAAGTAAGCTACATACCATACTTGAGAAAATTTTACTGGGTAGTTTTATACTTATGGACGAGTGAATAATTATTCAAAACCGATAATTCACCCTGTATCTCCGTTATAAAAACTGTGAGACTTAGTAAGTTCTTTCGAGCGATTTTTTGACTGAAATATATCGAATAATAATAATTGACACTGGTTTCATAATTTCAATACTCTTCAAATTGACATACTTTCAGCTTTCTGTTTATGATTGTTACGATGAGAATTGGTGGCGGGGAAACAAAAAGCATCAAATCCAGTTCAGTTTTTCCTCCTCTTTACGATTCTTTTGATGAACTCCGTCAATTATTACATACAGTGTGTTATTTCAATATTTCGAATAAATGTGAATTTTTCTTGAAGCCGAACCTGGATTTTATCTTCGCCCGATAGGTGAATGAATTCAACGTCCCAAGTTTAAGCTCCATACCAAATTTAAGAAATATATACTGGGTAGTTCAATACTTATAGACGATAGAATAATTATTCGAAATCGATAAATCGCCCTGTATCTCCGTTATGAAAACTCTAAGACCTATCAAATATGATATTTTCAGAACCACCTTGGTGACCCCTATCTACCATTGAAATATTTCCCTTTACCTGTGAAACACCCTGTATATCGGGAACGTCTCGTTTGACCCAATTTTTGATTCGCTCGATTTTCGATTCGCCCAATTTTCGATTCACTCAATTTTCGATTCACCCACCGTCTCCGAACATACCCGAAAGATGCGTTGTTGTCAAATATTGCCACATTTCCTCGGATTCAATGAAACGGGAATTATCAACAATCATTTCACATTCAAGTATGTCGTTGGACCAACATTTTGTTCAACCCAATTTTCGATTCGGCCGAGTTAGATAGGTTAGGTGGTTAGGTAAGTTAGGTTAGGTAGTTTGGAAAAGGTAGTCTCCTTCCTTATGCAGAAAAGAATATTTTCCTTCTTTATATTACGTTGAAATTCGGGTCGATCGAAATTTGGGTCAATCGAAATTTGGTCGAACCGAATTTGGGGCGAATCGAAAATTGGATGAATCGAAAATTGGGCGAATCGAAAATTGGGTGAATCGAAAATTGGGTGAATCAAAAATTGGGTGAATCGATAATTGGGTAATTCGAAAATTGGGCGAATCGAAAATTGGGTGATTCGAAATATGTACCATACATACAACATATTATGTGTATCAAAAAATTGAAATATTTAATAATGATAAGCCCAGAACGATTCTTCATTTAGATAGATTTGGCAACAACGCATCGTTCGGGTATATTCGGAGACGGTGGATGAATCGAAAATTAAGCGAATCGAAAATTGGGCCTATCGAAAATTGGGTGAATCGAATATTGGGTCGAACGCAACCTACCCATATAGGTATATCCAAAAAAAAGTAATTTATGAAAAGTGAGAAAAACAGTTGATTGTACCAGTATTTCACCTGAAGAATCTATGTTAGTAAAACATGTCATGTGATTAAGAATTTTGTGTCAATCTCATCATTTGTTGATTTTTTTACATTTACTATGGATTTCCATCAAGTAACAGCCGAGTCAATTCAAAACTTATAAACTATCTGTGCCAAATCATACTTCATCATCAAGTAAAAGATTCAAATCGATTTCCAGATCTGCAGATCCTGAATTGAACAGTCAACTCACGGAGGTATATACCCAGCTACAAAACATCGAATCAGATAAAGCACCTGCAAAGGCATCTATTATACTCTATGGTTTAGGTTTTAGCCCTGATATGCAACAAAGAGCAACAAAAACCTTCTCTGGTGGTTGGAGGATGAGACTAGCATTAGCAAGAGCTCTATTTTCAAGGTATCATCATTGATTGTTGATTAAATTTTTTCATCTTTGAAACTCATACAATTTAGCTGCTCCTACATATTTTTTAATGTGAACACGAAGTATGTAGGTTGGTGGACTATTTCTTTTATTTCTTGTATAGAATCATTACTCAATTTCCTTTCAATCCCATATTTTTTCAAATATTTCGGTCGATTTCAAGGCCCTAAAATCATCAATAATGGCACGGTAATGTTCAAACGGCTAGAAATTTACCGCAAATAAAAACTGACGTCACGGTTTCGTGAAATAGCACAGTTGCCATATTATTATGTTGTAACAGAAATGGGAAGTTCAGAAATATTATTTATTTCATAATTCATAAATTCTCTATTGGTAAAATTTTCAATTAGCTATAAAATTTCCATTGTCTTGTAATTTCCCCTCTCATATGTTGTATCTCATTGCATATTAATATAATGAATTTGTGTAAAAGATAATGATATCGATTTACACTAGAGGAGATATGGTCCGGTTTACGTGACAACACAGGATTGTGGGCGTTATCTTGTCAGTTCTCATCGTTCAGCACAGCATTGCCAAGTCTCTAGCCTAGCCAACATTTAGATGTTTCGTTATGGAGTATAAGAAATATTTCAACAAGCAGGTTGCTCGAAAGAGTCACAAATTAATAACTATATCACGGCTTCCTCCTGTTTGGTCAAGTGGAAAATATTTATTTTGGATATAATTCTATTCAACAACTGGACTCTAACAACTTTTTGATAACTTGATTTTAATTGGTGACTTGACAACCTCGCTTCATGAGTGGGAATGGAAGGCCACATATCTGACGTATCAAAGAACATGGCCAAATGGTAGCCATGACGGTATGTTTGAAATGAGCTCTGAAATTCAACAACTTCACATAGACACCTTATTTTTAGATTAAAAACACGTGAGAAGTGTTGCAAACAGGTTGTTTATGAAAGATTCTAAAAACTCTGTGGATATGCTCATCATAACAATTTTACTTACCTAAAATTAAATGTTGACAGTTCTTAGTTATCTTATCACAACATTGACAGAATCTCGCACAATTCTGTACACTGTTCTATCATATTAAAAGTACTTCGCGGTAGTTTCTCGTATCAGTAGTTTCAATAGTCGTTGTCGTTGGTTTAAATTGTTAACCTGTGAAGTCCTTTTTGCTAACTAAACGAATCCATTCTTCTCTTGACAAATTCATGGACACAAAGACACAAATTAACATGTTTCCACAAGCTAGACTGGACATGGCTGTGTTTCTACAGAACTCAGCTGTTATTCCTGTTATGCAATAATGCAGTTTCTAGTGATTAAGTTGAATCAGCAGATTAATAAATCAAAAGAGGAGGAAAAACCAAAACCAAATTTACCTAAGAAATGGACTTGGCAGGTTAACACTTTAGCCAATTGATATTTAGTGACGGATTCACTAAGTGGTGCCATTTGAATTATTTATAGACCTGACCTTTTGTTACTTGATGAACCTACCAACATGTTGGATATCAAAGCAATCATATGGTTGGAAAATTATTTACAAAATTGGCCGACCACTCTTCTAGTAGTGTCTCACGACAGAAATTTCTTGGATGCAGTCCCTACTGACATTTTACATCTTCATTCACAGAGAATAGAGGCATATAGGTGAGTTGACAATTTCACCATTGAAACAGTTTTTTGCCTTATTTCTGAAATAGTATCGATCCAAAATTAAATTCGGATTTATTTTAGGAAATATGAACTGTCGATTATCATAGAAAAAAATATTTTCAAAAGAATTCTTCAATTTCTTGCAAATATCTGTGGTTCCAATAATCCCATCATAAATAATGGTGGAAAATGAAAATGTAAATTCGTTTTTTGAAGATTAATTTCACACTTAATCCAAAAAATAATCAAAAATTTGAAGTGATATCATTTTTTTAATAGAATATTCCAAACATTTTTTGATCGTTTGAAGAAGCCAAAAAAATGTCACAAATGATTCAACATAAACACTTCTAGCACTGCATGTGAAGATTAAAAATGAGTTCGACTTTGATTGATGTATTGTAGTGGATTTGATAATGTTTATAGGAAATTTATTCATCTACTTATTTTTCAAATAAAGTGTTTTAAAGAAGAACATTGGTCTCAGCTTCACCCCGCTGTAAAATGTAACACACAATTTTTCTACAGGGGAAACTATGAACAGTTTGAGAGAACAAAAACGGAAAAACTGAAAAATCAACAAAGAGAATATGAAGCACAAATGCAACAGAGACAGCATGTTCAAGAATTTATTGATCGTTTCAGATTCAATGCTAATAGAGCAGCATTGGTTCAGTCTAAAATAAAAATGTTGGAGAAATTGTGAGTATCACAGAGACAACATTAAAATTTACTATCACCTTATTGAGGGTTTATGTAAATGTGAAATTATTTTAGACCTGAACTGAAACCCATTATTAAAGAAGTTGAAGTAGTATTGAAATTGCCTGACACAGAACCTTTGTCACCCCCTATTCTACAACTCAATGAGGTTATGTTCAGGTACAATGCTGAACGTGTGATATTTAGTAATGTCAACCTTGGTGCTACTATGGAATCAAGAATATGTATCGTAAGTTAATCTAATTGAATTATTGTCGATATTTTTCGACATTTGTTACTTTTGACAACTTATACAGTGTGTCCCAAATTCGGTCCTCATCATTGGGATCTCGGTAACTATGAGAGATAGAGTGACGGTTAAATTACCAAAGTTTCAGGAAATTTGATCTTTATTCAGAATCCATTAAGAAATCTAGACTAGCTTAAGTCATTTTTGATTTTTACAAGAAAAACTGAAATTTTGTATTTTCGTTTCACTTGAATATATCGAAAATTATTGATTCTATGATAAAATGACCTCAACATTCTAATAGTACTTTCAAGTGGTCTTTCAAATGGTTTTGTCAGTTTTCGTTAAAAATATCAAATTTCTGAAATATGACCCCAACTTATTTTATTATCTCACAGCTACCGAGATCCCAATGTTGAGGATCGAATTTGGGACACACGATATAGGGGGTTATAAATGAAAACAATTGATGTCTCCAACTTCAATATCCTGTATCTCAAAAACGAAAATATCACAATATCACTCCCCAAAGTTTGTCCCATTCAATTACTAACACTGTATAATCCTATCCTTGAAATATATTTCTCTCGAGTTTTTGATTTATTGAATGTGTTAAGTTTGCTTCCCTAAGACAGATTGATTGTTCTTTATCCACAAAACTCAGTTTAATGTCACTTTCTTTTGTTCATTTGGCATTTTTTGTCAGCTCATTTCATCTTGATATCAAACAAAATCATGAAATTCATGGAACACCTGGATATGCATTGCCATTTTTAGGTTGGTGATAATGGTGCTGGTAAAACTACTTTATTAAAAATCATCATGGGTATTTTATATCCAACTCTGGGTATGAGGAATGTTCATAGGAATTTGAAATTTGGATATTTCAGTCAGCACCATGTAGATCAATTAGATATGAATGTGAATTCAGTGGAATTACTTCAACAGGAATACCCTGGTAAGTACAATATCATCGAAAACAATAAAAATAACAACATGATTGGATGATGTATATATCTCTCAATTTTTGGAATTTTCTCTCCATTTCTATGAATAAGAATATTAGTAATATCTCAATATATTTGTATTAACGACAAATTGGATGATTGTCATAGTTGAGTCATACAAAAGATAATGTATTCAATTAGAAAAAAGAAAGTAAACGAAGAAGATTAATACCATAGCACAGATCACCTAATGACTAGATAGGAATGCTTGGATACCGCCTTTGATGTTCTATGGCTCAGAATTCGTTACCTTGAACGCCACTATCGCATACCCGGAGAGAAATGTATCATTGATTTCACACATCTCCCTTCAACATACAATGAAAAATCATGCTTGCAATATTCCCAGAAATGGTAAAGTATTTCTGTGGCATATATTCATAATGAAAAAAAAAAAACTCATGTATTGGACAATTTGGCTACACAGATCAGTATCTAATTGAATTTATTAAAAAACTGAAAAGATAAGGATATTTCCTATCATTACTATTTGGCCAAGTGAAGTGTAGTGATCGCCCCTGAGTCCAACCCATCTTAGCCAACTAGCATTTATAGTCGTGATTACATAATAACGACTATCAACCACTATTTACTAGTTGCGGTTATGTAATAAATACATAGTTACTATTTATTTACGGCCAAAATGGGGAATAAGTTACCAGAGAATTTTACGGTTAGCCGACGTAGAACTCGGTCAATTACGTAATGCTTACGTCCCGTCAAAGTCAAAATTACTTATAGATGTAGTAAATTTTCATATTGACTCTGTTTCTGTTCCACTTCATCAATAGTTATTTATTATACAAGGGAAAAAAGTTGTAGATTTTAGCTCCAGCCTGTGTTGTTTCCGGACGCGTAGCGGAGGGAGACAAAAAACCAACAGTCATTACGTAATAACGACTATTAAGAACTATTTACTAGTTGCGGTTATGTTATAAATACGTAGTCTTCTTCTTCTTTTTTTGGGTTTATTGGATTTCTGTCACCTTTCGGTAACAATTTCTCCAGATCAGGTAATTAATTTTTTCAAGAATATATATATGGTTATGTAATAATATATTGTCACTCGACTCGAGCACTAAAGACACCGTAGTCCGTCACCATGCCCGGCAGCCGAGTTCATCAGTGTCCAAAGATTCTATCGTATGTGCTCATGCTGAGCACGTTTGATTTCAAGTATGGCTCCTTTATCCGGTGAATCCGTCACCATCCGGCCTCTATACCGGCGTAGAGATAAAAGGGCTTTATAATTTTCACACACACTTATTAAACTTCACAATAAATATTGGATTTTAATCCAGATCAGGTAATTAGAAAAATTAAAGACTTGCACACACATTAACCTGACTTTTCACCTGGAGACGCCATGTGTCTCCTTCCATGGTCAAAAGGCGAATTAAATACGTAGCTACTATGTATTTACGACCAAAATGAGGAATAAATTACTAGTGAATATTACGGTTTGCCGAAGTAGAACGTTAATGCTTACGTCCCGTCAACGGCGAAATTACTTAAATATGTAGTAAATTTTCCTACTGACTCTGTTTCTTTTCCACTTAATGAATAGTTAATTATTATACAAGGGAAAAAAGTAGTAGATTTTAGGTCCAGGCTGTGTTGTTTCCCGACGCGTAGCGGAGGGAGACGAAAAACCGTGAGCTAAAATCTAATATTTTTCTCCTGTATAATACACTATTTTTTCTGTGACAGAAAAAAGGACGAATCAATATTGAGAAGATATTACATTATATTAATATCAGAAAATTATCGACGTAAAATTTCAAGTTTTTAACAGAGGAATGACACCTGCGGTGCAGGCATCTTTTTGCAGGCATCTTTATTATTCTTTTGAAGTAATCAAATATCTGTCAGTCTAATTCTGTGGTTTGATTTTAAAAAATTGCGAATTTGGTGGTTGTTTAGTGTATCTGCGATGGAATGGAAGATAAAAGGACTTGCAGTTCCTTCTCGGAGACGGTGTTATTGGCTTATTTTTCGGAACTATAGCAAAACAAAAGTCATCAACAGTGTATATATATGTTTTTGATCGATTTTGTCTGAAGTGATTCTTTGTGCACCATATATATATACATATATAATAACTAATTATATTATAAAGACTATACAAACTGAAACTAAGACAAAAAGAAGGGTGAAAACGCTTTTTTCAACGAAAATATTTGTGTTTTTATTTTGTTCGGATTTTTCTCAAAATTCATTCTAAATCATGTTAAATTCCATTATTATGCAATTTCTTATCAAAGATGTTATAAATCAGGAAATAACTTCCGAACTCCTCAGTCATGATTAAGTATTGAGTTTTTTCAACATAGAAGTCATTATGGTGATTATCAAAAAATGACCTAATAGTAGTTTTTACTTGGGAATTGTTTGAGTAGAAATTCCCCATATGTTACTTCATATATTACCAAGCATTGGCTAAAATATTAGATGATAGATAAAGTAGCGACGACGTCGTAATGACCATGGAGTAATTGTTAAAGTGAAGCTCTCTTGGAAAGGTAACTGTTATTACCAAAATAATGTATTCAAAGTTGCTAAACCTTATGAGTGATTTTGAGAATAGTTTCGAAATAATTACTTTCCAATATTCTAATAAGCGATGAGAGCTTGAAGTTATTATCAACACATGGTGGAATTAGTATGGTGTGCTGCAACGCATCTTCGAATACGTCACTGCGAGTAAAACAATTGCTAGCAGTCTGAGCTCACAGTTATCAGTTCGCCCGAGTCGCCGTGATCATTTTGGTGCGAGTAAAGACTCGCAATGACGTTATGCGCAGAAAAGACGAATTCAAGATACCTGAGTAGCACACCATATATATTTCCACCATGTTATCAACAGTAAAAACACGAGCTTTATTTTATCGGAAAAATGTCTCTTGGTAACGAAAAACATTTGCCGAACAGTAATTTTACGAGAAAAACTGACATGAAGAAATTTCGAGACCGTAGGTGGCAAAACAAATCAACGACAATATACAAATAAACAACAATAATGGTCACCTTTATTGATGATTCCGTGTAACTGGTAGTTGGCGGAATTGATTTTCTCATATTTCGTGGTTTCTTCAGACGAAATTTTCCTAAAACGGCTCATCTTGCTAATTTACGCGTGAACCATACCCATCAATCAAACTTGACACGACAGAAATTGGAGTGACATCAGGCGCAAATAGCGACTAAAACAAAGGAGCAGGCAGTTTATCAGCGATAAAAAAGGTGCATCCTTTTTTATCGATGTCAAAATGACTCACGTCGTCGTCAAATAGCGTTTTCCGTGTAGGAGTTGATTTATCTTGAGTAAAAACTACGTCATTTTCACTCATTGAATAACTATCACTGACATTTCCACTATGAAGATATGTAAGTAATAATTACGTAATAGTTTCTTGAGCTATCATAGTCCCTTTGACTGAAAATGCTAGTTGGGTAGTGCCACTTGTGATCAGGACAACGCCGGACATGCGCATACAAATTCGGTTCTCCCGGGCCTAGGTTTCGTATCTGGTCGTTGGGTGATCTATGGTCACAATAGTTCCAAGTTCTCATTGGCCAGCATGGATTACCTAATACATATTTTAGACGCATGCGCATAGCATCTAGCATCTCAGAAAAAACTAGTATGAACGTTTATCGCCTATTGCTTCAGATAACGCCTCAACCACTGGGCTAACTAAGGACGAACGCACAACTCTCTAACCAAATTTGCCTCTATGGTATTCAAAAAATGACTCATAATCCCATTGTGGTATTTATCCTCTCATCTTCTCAACTGTAGAACTGTTTATTTTTCTACAAATGTAAGGCTTCAATCCAAATACTTGACAGCGATACTTGTGAATGGACTCCTTCAGTTAATATTAATTGATTATACTGATTCTCAAGTTTCTTTGCTAACATTATTTTGATATTGTTGTGCATTCAAGGAAAGCCCACAGAAGAATACCGACGGCAATTGGGTAGTTTCGGTGTATCAGGAGACTTGGCTCTACAGACGGTCTCCAGTCTGTCTGGAGGTCAAAAATCGAGGGTGGCTTTTGCCAGAATGTGCATGGGTAGACCTAATTTCTTAGTACTTGATGAACCCACCAATCACTTGGATATTGAAACAATAGAAGCCTTAGGAAAAGCGATACAAAAGTTTACAGTAAGCATATGATATTCTATTAGTATTTGAACATGTTTGTTTCATGCATAAACAAATGATTCTTGAGATCAATTCATAGATGTTGATGCTGATGCATTCATTTTCATCAAAATGAAAGTAATTTCAGTCAGTTTATCTGACTATTTAGTATCTGAAATAATAAATAAAATTTGTTACACAACAGAACTATTATCATCCTTTCATTAGATGTTGAATGAGGAAGACATTTTTTATATGTAATATGTAATACCACAAGAGATACTATTTTGCCGGAAATATTCGGCGATAGTTACGACAACTTGTTGCCCAATAATTTCGCGTTTGACATTGTTTATCAAAACTTTCGATCCGTAGGCGAAACAATGTCATGAGCGAAAATAACGCAGCAAGCAGTATGCCAATCAACAGATGTTTCTAGCAAGTTGTATTCGCGAGAGTTGCACACGCTGCTCCATCATTTTGGCTTCCGACATAATTGACGTTTTGTATGTCACGTGTGGGTTGATACGGTCCTACAAAATTCTCATTGATATGTCAAGTCTATTTCTAAAAACAAAATCTTGATGAATGCGTCAATCACATTACTGTTATTGGATTTTTCAATTTCTCCACTAGAAAACTCTTCAAATTGGGAATAATCTTCCAAATAGTGAATACTTTTCTGACAACGCAAGATTGAGAAAAATGTTCATAAATGCCATCGAGGTTCGTTCACAATTTTGGTTGTCATGGTTACAAAATAAATGTTAGGTTCCATTCTGTGACTGGAAAACATGGCAAAGTTTTTTCACTGTCACAATGACAAAATCTCAGCAGCTTATAGGAGTTTTCATTCATTAATTGAATGGTCAACAGTTAAAATTGAGTGTCTATATTGAAAATAATATTTTTCTTGTTTTCATTATACAGGGTGATTCAAAAGTAAGCGGCATCCTTTCAGAGGCGTATTCCTTGCTTGAAAATAAGGCAAAAAGTTCCTATTGATAAGGATCCGAAAATGCTTCCTAAGGGAGCTACGGCCCTTTGAATAGGACACCTCAAAGACGGTTTTTTCTCTATAACTTTAAAATCCTTCACAACAAATTTTTAAAAATTGGTGTACGGCATAAACATTCGATGGTAAATAGGACTCCGTATTCGAAATTTCAGAATTTCATTCAGGGGCGTCACATGCGGGAGAGGGTAAGTGTAAAAATATCCCTTCTTCTCCGGATATTCAGGTTACTGTGATTTCGTTTGGAAATTATTTCGAATACGGAGTCCTATTTACCATCGAATGTTTATGCCGTACACCAATTTTTAAAAATTTGTTGTGAAGGATTTTAAAGTTATAGAGAAAAAACCGTCTTTGAGGTGTCCTATTCAAAGGGCCGTAGCTCCCTTAGGAAGCATTTTCGGATCCTTATCAATAGGAACTTTTTGCTTTATTTTCATGCAAGGAATACGCCTCTGAAAGGATGCCGCTTACTTTTGAATCACCCTGTATATACTGGGTAAATCAAATTCGAGGGCCACCATTGGGATCTCGTGAACTATAGGAGATAGGAAGATGGTTGAATTAGGGCAAAGTTGAGAATTTATGTGACAAATAATATGCCGTCCAGAAAATTTTGAAATTCCGAGTATTTTCGGATATATTCGAAAAAACTAAAATTTTGGTATTTATTTTCATTTTTTTTCTGTTGAAGAATATCGGAATTGATGGCACATTTACATTGTCACTTTTTCATGGTATATGATGACATTTTCAGATTCACTATCCGACGTTTCTCTCTACGCCACCATCATCAACTTTATTTTTTCTCATGGGCGCCATATTGGATTTTCATTAATAATAATAGCATGGCAAATCTATAGTAGGGAAACAGTTGCAATGAAAATGTGCCCTCAATTTGGATATTCTCCAACAAATAAGACCAGAAAAAATAAAATGATTTACCAAACATCCTGTTTTTCCGTTTACCTCCGGAAATACTCGGAATTATATTAAATTATCTCGGCGGCATATCTTCAGTCATATAAATGCGCAACTTTGCCCTAATTTAACCGTCTTCCTATCTCCCATAGTTTCTGAGATCCCAATGGTGGCAATCGAATTTGAATTACCAACAATCAACATCAGCGGGCCACAATCATGATACATCGTCGGCCCGGCTAGCCCGTGTCGCACTATTCGGTTAGAAAGAAAAAAATATATAGTCGGGAGTCGGACTCGAACTTGTGATCGAACGGATATCCATTCAACTGTCAGACGCTTATACAACTAGACTACTGCGAAACTTGATGATACTATTACGAATCCATCAGTCAGAACAGAACAGAATTGAAATAGTACAAGGCTTCAATTATATTTGATTATACGATATACCTATCATAACTTGTTGATTTGACGACGTGGAATAGGTGTAGTCTGATAATGTTCTAGCCACATTACTTTTCCAGTGTTTGATCTATTACTGTGAATCAAATATTTTTCGAATATAGGTAAAGAGCTGAACCTCGCATTGGAGCATCATTGTTATAATATAGGAATATAGGGTAATGAACAAATATTCGATCAGATCAAAATCATTACCACAAAAATGGATTGGTAGACAATAACGAGTATAACTATTGTTATATAACATATATCATTCTTGATGTCGGACGATAGTTTGCTGTGATCAACCATATAAAAATGCATAAAAGTATTCTGGAGATATATTGTTATTGTGATACTACACTATGAGATTATTTACATAATGGAGTTTGTCTCCAGCGTCGAATCGACAGCGGCTCGATTGTGACATCTATAACGGTCAATTACGGGATGGAAGACAAAAAAACATAATAAATAAGCGTACATCATGCCGTGGCGGCACAACCTATGTCATTCTAACATTTTGCCGATATCGGTTTGCCGCTGCCGATAGATATCCTCTGCTGTCAGCGATGGCCCGCCTATTCATGTTTGCTGGGTATATGAGTAATTTTATTCGACATATTTGTAAATAAATAAGGGACTTCAATTTGTTGCATTTCTAAAATTGTATTCTAATTTAATACCAAATCCATTCTTCGAAATTTATCAAAACACTATTTTATTTTGCCTCCTTTTTGTGATCACAGTGATATTACAACATATTATAAGCCATAGCAGAACAGAAATCTTCTAAATATTTGGGAGAATCATTATGGATCTCAAGTTGCGAGAATAGCAATGCCTCATGATGAATAATCTTATGTAATTCCAGGGAGGTGTCATTTTGGTTTCCCATGACGAAAGGCTTATAAGAATGGTCTGCAATGAGCTGTGGGTGTGTGGTAACGGGTCAGTATCCAGCATAGAGGGTGGTTTTGATGAGTACAGAAAAATCGTGGAACAGGAATTAGAAGCGGCGGCAGCAGCAAAATAACATTAGTTCATAAATAAACAAGGTTCTAATCAAATTCTAAACACTGTGATCAAAGATCAGTGTTTTCTTAAATCAATAAGAAATTTTTAATACTTACCTACTGTATAAATGTGCCTGTTTTAGATGACTTGTACTATTTATGAATGTTCTGTTGAATTTATAATATATTCATATTTATAATTTGAGAAACGTTTTATTTTTACCCATAATATGCCCTAGTTGAGAATCAATCAACTATGTAGGGTGTTGTCATAGTATTGCAAAATAGTGGAATGATTGCATGTAGTAATCTAAGAATTTCTGTAAAATATGTGTCCTACATCCTGGAATTCCTAGACCAATTCATAATAAACTATAATTATTAGAAAAACATTCTTATATTTACACATAGAATTGATGCATTCAAGTAAAAAACAATATACCAGTCTCACATACCTATAAATAGAAAAGAGAAACCATTATACAAAACATCATACAACAACAAATTTCAAAATAAGTTGATGGTGAAACAAGATCCTCTGTTGACCTAAACCTGTCTAGCCAACCATTTCTTCAATCCTTCAATATCAACCATTCCATTCTTGTGGAATGCATAACTTTCAGCAATATCCACTTTCATGGGTAGAGCAGCAAAGTCAAAATCTTCATTGGAGTTTCCCAACTTAGCAGCATTCTTAACATTGGGGTCCACAGATTCCAGTTGGCTTGATTTAGTTATGCGCAGAGTGTTCCTGAAAGATGAAGATAGATTTCACATGTTTACAGCCTCAATGAAGAACATATTCTTTTGATGAATGCAATGAAGAAAATTATATGTCAACAACATTATTATTATTCATTATTTACTTACAATTCCTTTTCAAAAATTGATTTGATAGCAGATCCTCCCTTAGCAAATGTCTGATCTTGCTTATTGCACAAGATGAGCAAGTTGGGACGATTCTTCTGTATAACAGGGTCAATCAATATGTTGTACAAGAATTCTGCAGCATCCCTTATGTCCTGTGTCAATGTTGAAGAATCCACAACATAGACAATGCCTTTAGTAACTTCTTTATGCTGGTCAAAGAACTTGTTTCTTAATCTTTCATGTCCAGGAATATCCACAACTTTCAAAACTCCATTGTTAGAGCTGATGTAGTTGGCGATATTTTCTTTTATTGAAGTATGAGTCTGTACATTCTTATTGTGGATTAGCTGTGAAAATATCAGGGTTTTTCCACTATCACATAGACCCGTTAAGAGAATACCTCGCCTGGAACTCTTACTGCGTTTATAAAGAGCAATTATAACTAAAAAAATCAATGTAATAGATGTTTGTACTTGAAATATTTGTGATGTTCAACATATGGAAATTTCAAATCCACTCACCCAATGTTATCACCACAACAAAAACGGCAATGAATATTTGTGTGAAATCAGTGCCTTCCATTTTCACTGGAACTCTTTTGTCTACCATTCTCAACCCAAATTTACTCTCGAGTCTCACCTATCACTTCCGTGATATCCTAGGGAGAAAGAAAATTGAAAATTTGTTCCTTCCTCAATATTTAAATTCAAAACAAATTAATCTAACCTGTCTTTTTCTGTTTCTGTTTTGATGATCGTTGGCTGTATGCTGTATCCATATTATGCTATTTTGCTGTATGGCTCTGATATATATTTGTCTTCTTCTCTTTTTTTATCGCTTGTAGTGCACGAAAGGGAATTTGGGAATTCCAATTCCTATGTTTCAAGAACATCAAGAACATTTCAAATTTTCACCATGAAGGGACTGAGAAAGTTCTTGGAAATACTTCCTCGATCAGGCAATGAATTCAAGAGCTTTGCCGTTTTATATAAATGATGTCAAGTGGTCAGTGTTAGTGAGAAAGTGAGTATTGCATCACCCACGCGAACGGCTCTTCTCTGCTGGATCAAGATTTTTATGCATGATTCTTGGCAAATTCAAATCATTTCAAGAATTGAATCGAATTCACTATACAGGGTACGTCACGATACGAGCTTACACTATTTCCATATCGAGAGTCAGTCGGGAGAAATCCATGAAAAAATGCATGCTTATATTTTACAATATGCTCTATTCATTTGAAATAATTTCAGCAATGCAGTGTTGCCGCTACTATCAAAAAGTAGCAACAACTTTGTTATTGCAAATAAAAAATACCCTGTATTTCATTGCATTTTTGCAAACAGCTGATTTCATCAACATCAAACTTAGGGCCTGTCAGAAATGATTTCCCTATTTCAACTCTTGATTTGCTATCTACTTATATTTAATCGGAACAGATACAGAGGGCGGTGATCAGATAATTCTGAATCTTGAACCACCCTGTATCTGTTCCAATTGAATATTAGTAAATAGTGAATCAGAAGTTGAAATAGGTACATGTGGCAGATAATGAATATAGTCTTGACACAAAAAAATCCTGAAGTAGAAAAATCTTAATTTTGAACACCCTATATCTCTGTAATCATTTTCGATAGACCCCAAGTGTGACACATCGATAAAATCAGCTCTTCAGGGAGAATCTAAAAATGCGATGAAATACAGGGTGTTCCATTTGAAATATCAATGTTGCTACTACTTTCTAGTAGAAGCGGCAACACTGCATTGTCCAAAATATTTTGAATGAAGATAGCGTATTTTAAATTTAAAATATGAGCATGCACATTTTCATGGCTTTTTCCTGACTGATTCTCGATATAAAGATAGTGTAAGCTCGGCCTGACATACCCTGTATAGTATATGCAGCATTGATCAAAATGAAATAAGTAATAGTAGTGTACCTTTTCCCTGCAAAAACGACAATTATTGATAAATTATCTTAAACCAAATAATCCAAATCCCCCTTCCTTCATGTTCTGATACTCACCACCAGAATGGAATGCCTATATTTGTCTTTGATTGTATTAGCTCCACTACAAAATTTCATGACCCCCTCTGAATATCCCGGAAGCAGTGCATTTTCTTAAAGTACATAATAGCAGTATTTTGGGTCTTCCTATATCAAAGAAAATGACGTCCTATGTAATTTATCCTATATATAGCTATCAATTCTGATGGATGGAAATAGACTGACTATCCCACATATTATATAGTTATTTTTTAAACAAATAATAAAAGCACATTTCCCTTTCATTTTCTCAGGTGATAGATCCTATTAGGTGCCAATTTATTGGGGACTCATTATACCCATTACCTTTACAATTCTTGATTTTGTTTCTTAGAAAAATTCAATAATCTATTAAAAAAAAAACAATTTCAATTCACTATTTCTTTATTTCACCAAACATAAATTAAAAGTCACAAAATTTTGTTTTTTCATTATAGTCAGGACCATTGGGCTTTCAATAAATAATGCTCCTTCATCAAGAAAAAGCAATTGAAACTTCTTCTGCTTGCTATGTTGGGGATTAAAGGGGGATACCAAATGCATTGGTACACAATAACATGTCCTGTTAAATTTTTTTCTCGAATTTCCTTAATCATCATCTAAACTCAAATCATAGTTTTTCCTAATGGTTTATGTTCTTCATTTTGTATTCATAGGGGCATACCCTATCCGTAATAAGTTGAAGAACATACAGTGTCTCTTTGACAACAAGGACCTGGTTTGAAATTTAATTTATGGGTTTGCAGAAATAATAAGAATGGAGAATCAATTTAGGGTATGAAGGCGTTTAATTTGAAAAATCTCTATTACCCTCTGCAAAAATAAAACATATCGCAAAAAATACTCAAATGGTGACTTGATAATACAGTAAAAATATGTTTCAAGATGAAACAATTGAGGAAAGTGTGACTTTACTGGTTCTAAACAACCTAACCTGACTTGGCCTAAATGAACCTTCCTTCCGTCATCACAGGGAATGCCTAAAACTAATAATCAAACGGTGCATGAAATTTAGAGTTATGCTGTTTTCCCGGCAATACGTGAAATGGCTATAGACATTTCAGGGAATTGCGGATTTCACTTTTTGACGCCGAAATATGTCCCCAAAAATTCGTTGTAAGGATGCAACAGTCCTTTGAAGTTGGAACATACAATTTCTTGCATAAGATTCATGAAACTTGGTGGATAGAAATAATTTGATGTTATAAATCGTTTTGCCAATTTTAAGACGGGAAACCATCATGTATTGGGGCGTACGCCATTAGGAATATTTTTTTACACAACCAACACGTTTCATCATATTTTTAGCAGTAAAATCATCTGTTGGAATATCCAAGAGTGGTTTCGAGACACATATGGAAAGACGAAAAAAGAAGTGTCTATATATTCCGAACCATTCCCATTGGTTGAAATTGTGGAGGCTGAAATTGGTAAGGGAGTTTTATTCTGGTCCACAAATAGCATGGCGGCAGCCCAGTATGATTACTGGTCTACTGATTTAGGCTTTCAAGGATGTCTCGTTAATAATAAGCTTTTCTGCCAGCAATTGCACATGCGTCTATAATTTATCATGTGATTTTCTGTGTCCAATCTGAAAAGGAGGTTTGGGAATGGTTCGAAAACTTAAGGCTCTGGTAAAAAAGAAATATTGCATTCTTGATGAAGAAGATTACCAAACCAAATTATTTAACCTATGGCTCTGAACATCACAGTCGAGATTTTATCACAAACGTTGGGGTACCTTCATATGTATTGAAGAACAATTTCATAATCTGGAGCCTCAAGCAATTTCTCCACCCTCAACCTTTGAATTTGAAACCAGGTGAGCTTCCATAAGAAAACTTGTGGGATTGTGACTTAGAGTTTGAAGTACTGGAGAGTTCATGATTGTAAAGAAAATCGTCAACTTCAGTTGTTTCCTTCATGTCTGTATCATCGAAATTTTCCTCTACAACTTCTTCATAATCTCTATAGAACGGGTGAATTTTTTTTCCAGACCTATAATGAATTGAAAATTAATATACAGGGCATTGACGACGAGATTACATTAGAAGTATATGGAGAACCAATCGAGATGACAGTCATGGACGTAAGTTTACGTGTGTAATCATCTTGACTAAAAATTGCCGACTTCAGATCACCTTCCATTATACTTAGAGTAGAGTTACTAAATGTACTTAACACTGGCCGTTTTGACCTTTTTGTACATAGGTCGCGTGCACGATGAACGACCCTGGAGGTAAAATATTGAAACACAACTTAACTTTTTAATTTGTTTACAGAGGAATCAAAGGATTGAAATAATTTTTCACAATATTTTGGCATACGAATCGTGTTTTTTGCGCTATTCATTAATTCAAGCATACCGTCTCATTGTGCTGTTGCCGGATTCCTTCGTCTCTCGTTGCATTTTTTGTGCATTGTACAGCACAATGTGATGGCATGCGCGAATTAATGAATAGTCGAAAAACACCATTCGTATGCCAAAATAATTGTGTGCCACGTAACCGTGCGGACAGAGTGTCAATATTTTAATCCGCATTTGCTTGCCGGTCGTGAGTTCGATTCCCAGCGACTGCAGACATTTTTCTGATGGCCCAAGAAAGTGTTTGGGATCACACGTTAAAAGGTATGGCCCCCGTCATTCCTTGCTCGCACAAGACTCTCGAAGACTTCTGAGTGTTACTCGTAGGGGGCATACGAATGACAGATAGAACAATTTTAGAACAATTAGGCCAGTCATTGGAGATTTTTACCTGGAAAAAAGTCCGTAAGTTTTGAAACTTTGTAGGATTATAGTTTTGGGTGTCAAGAACTGAAATTCACAAAATGCACATTCCGGGACATGCCGCCGGCGCCGCCATCTTGCCAAGATGGCGCTCAAAAACGGTTTTTTGAGAATATCTCCATAACGGTGCGTTTTTAGAAAAAATATGAAGACATAAAAATTTTAGATGAAGAAATTTTCTATAAGAAATGTTCTTAGTATATTTTTGCTGAAGTGAGCCGTTTAGGCCCAAGAGCTGATTGAATGACATCATATTCTGTTAATTTCAATAAACTGCCCCTAACTATCTCCAAATATGCGTATAAATTTATCTTTTATAATGATATATATGTTCCTAGAATATTCTCGCTATAAAGTACCCTCGTTAAGGCACAAGTGCCCTTACCAAATTACAAATGTTGCGTAAGTTTTCTGTAGTGGCGAGTTTCGGAAATAATATGTGTGTCCCCAAATCTGATATTTAACGACTTTAAAAATATTTATCACGAAACGGTGGATATCCATTATTCAATTAATCGATGAATTCATCAATTAATCCATGTTAATAATTTATGATCAATCAATTTCGATTTTAAATGCTGTACTTGTTTCCACACCACCCAAGAGGCTAAGTACACGGCGCGTTTTTTTTAACGTGGTTTCCCCTGTAGTCCTAATCCACTCAGGTACTGAAATTATTTTTGGCAAAGGCCAGACGGACCTGGCTCGTTGATTTCGATATATTCAACGGGGAAACTGCTTACCTCAGCTCCAGAATCGATGTTAATTTCCTTCAACTCGTCGGATTCTTCTTCTGCAGTCGATAAAGAATCATCATGCAGCGAATGGAGGTCTTCTTCATCGGATTCGTCCAGTGTCACTTGGCTGATATTTTCACAAGTTTTTCCCGTTGCAGACACCGCAAATCATCGAACATCGCAATCCTGCATCCGCAGGCTCTATACCACAAGCCGCATTGCACTTACAAGATAAAAAAGGAAGTAGTGCTTTGGAAGCAGGATCTTTCAAAGTAGTTATTGGAGTGAGGCCAGTTTGTGTTTTCTTTCAACCCCATTATTCAACTACTTTCGGACAACCACGCCATAGTTGAACCTGATAGTACGTTCTCAACGAATGCTGTCGTGCAGCTGCGCTTGTCGGTGGTAAAGATGCCAAATTGAATTTACTTTTTGTTACCGACTTCACGAAACACTGGTATCGATATTTATCAAGATTGGTGTAATTTGTGTCTTTGAATCCATAGAGTGCAAGGAAAAATTTCTCACCGGTGAAGGCAACTTGATCAGGGGTGGCATGTTCATTTTTAAAAACTTCAATATGATCTTGTAACTTTTTCTGTTTTTCTAATGTTGTTAGAAACTTCATTTTTCCTTGGTTAAATACGGTCTCGCAATTTTTTTATGTCCGTTTTTCTCGTAAAATTACTGATTCGCAAATTGTGTTCGTTAGGAAAGGTAATTTAGTTGATGAAAAAGTTCTTGTGTTTTTACCGTTCATAAAAATATCTCATCTGAAATATATATTTTGTGTATATTTATTCATATTGGGATGGAGTGGTAAAGACAAGAAAGCAAAATTTCAAATTTCTATGAATTTATGGGCGGTTTTACAGTACGAGAAGGTAAAGTATATCCATTATCAATTGCAGAATACCTCGCACTGTGCGGCGTCGGCGTGTTTGAAGTTTCCTTTGAAGTGACTGCAGGTGCGGCACAAGATTCTGCAATTGTTTTTGGATAAACTATACCTATATCTACGGATACATAGTATAGGTACGAAATTTACTCATAACCATCCTGCACCCACATACTTCTGGAGCAAAGTCGCCAGATTCGTCGATAATGCAATTTTCATATCGCCCAAATAATCGCAAGTCACAAATGCAAAATTTTTGTCGCATAATTGATCTAAAAATCGTCCGATATAACGAGGAACAAATTGAATAGCCCGTTTTATTATAAAATATGAATTTATACGCATATATGGAGATAGTTAGGGGCAGTTTATAGAAATTAACAGAATATGTTGTCATTCAATTAGCTCTCGAGCCTAAACGGCTCTCTTTAGCAGAAATATGCTCGGAACATTTCTTGTAGAAAATTTCTTCATCTTAAATTTTTATGTCTTCATATTTTTTCTAAAAACGCACCGTTTTGAAGATATTTTCAAAAAACCGTTTTTAAGCGCCATCTTGGCAAGATGGCGGCGCCGGCGGCATGTCCCGGAATGTGCATTTTGTGAATTTTAGTTCTGGACACCCAAAACTATAATCCTACAAAGTTTCAAAACTTCCGGACTTTTTTCCAGGTAAGCCTTATTTTGGATCCCCAATGACTGAACTAAATTGACAATGACAGTTCTTGCACGCAACCCAATTGAGAGTTTGGGCAATCGACAAGCAGTGACATTGACACATAATCAAAAACAATTTTGAAGTAAATCATGTTTTGTCAGACAATGACAAGACTATGTTTTTCGATTAGATAAAGGCTTCTCGCATCTTATTTCCTCTACATGTTCAGAGAAGCGTACATCCATATATATTTCTTTATATTTCATTTTTGAATGAGAGTGCATAGCGTCTCCTCGAGTGGGAGAAAAGGGACGATAAATCATCCGGTTGATTTGCAGTAAGAGTGATATCATCAGAATTGGATGCTTCTGCAGCAAGAACAGTCTAGTTTGCTCTGATTGACTCACTATTGAGATATGGTGTCTGTTTTTGGGGAAATAGTTCCCAAGTTTTATTGAGCTCTGTATTAATTCTACAAAAGAGGGCAGTGAGAACCTTGTCAACCCATTTATGGCACAAAAAATACTGACATTTAGTTGTTTTGATAATACGTTTTTGAGGTGTTTGATATCTTAGTTTTATATACCTAGTATAAGTTATAATGATCTACATAATGTTATATGATGTGTTACATGATATTATTACATATTAATATTAGTTACATATACGACGTCACATACTTTGTCGACAGAACTTTTGTTTTTTACTACTATAAAGTCTTCTTCTTATTCCTCTACCATAACATGGCTGTAGAGTTTAGCGGTCGACTCACTTAGATCACATCTTTTGGCACCCCAGAAATCTTTCAAAATCCACTATAAGTTGTAGATTTCCCGCGCTTCTAAATTATACGCACAAGTTTAGAGTTTATACTTGAGATTTCAGCGGAAGCGATACACAAACAATCCATTTCTTAAATAGAGTTCCAAAAAGTGACTATGTTTCAGTAAAATTCCACTATTTTTACAGTTGGGAATAGCACAAACTTTTCCCAATGTTCTCAATTTGAGAAACCTTTGAAATCAATGTCAAGCACGTTCGTGTACTGTCATTTCCCGCTTTTTCCATCAATTTATTAATGGTTATGTATGACTGTCAAGTGTTCATACTCTAAGTACACAAAAACGTCAATACAGCAGTGTCAAGACCATTATGGAACTCTAACTTGGGGTAGATAACTATTTCATTTTATTTATGAATCTTTATCAAATAATAGGGTAAAGATCCATATTCCTGAAACTGGTTGTTTATGAGATATTAATTACTTTTATCAAATTGAATTATGAATTTTAAAATGATTTTTAGTTCTTGAGAATACTAAATATGGCGATTACAAATTTAGGGAAATTTCAAGTTTAAATTTGTATCACCCTTGATAGTTTTTTTCAAAAACTGGAACTGACAATATATTGAACGATAATTTTAGTATGTTCACGTGAAATTTCCGTCTCGTCCCGCTATCACTTACGATTTATTTGAAAGGATATTGCAGCTGTCTGAATTTTTGGAAACAAAACTTGCTAACTAGGTTTTACATTCAGAATGTTACATAATAATGTACATAAGGACATAATAATATATCGGATATATCAAATATTTGAAAATGTAATGAACCTTACCTTTCAAGAAGATAAGGATCAAATGGGTAAAACACATCCAAAAGATTATTGGATATAACAACTGCTCCTTTTTCATTCTGATATATTGTTGGCATAACATTCCTGGAATTATGTTCCATCACAGTATAACAATAGGCCAACTGATAATTTCGTGTAATTGCCGCAAAATTTTGTGCAACAACTGGCTGGCATACTCTCAAGGGATTCAATCTACTTGTTACCATTTTCGCCAAGTTTAAGCTCTCCAGAAAGACAATATCTGAAATTAAATGAATATCTGAGATTGAAACTCCTTTGGATAACAAAGATTCTCACTCATACCTTTAGTATCAGAATTTTGAAGAGTTTAATAAAAAAAAAAAATTAATGTTGATGATTATTTTTTTAAGCTAGTGTATCTGGGTATATTATTAATTAATCAATGATACCATTCGAGTTTTTGACCAATTATCACTGGAAAAAGTTGAATATTCTCAGAGTTGAAATACTTTTGAAGAATATCTGTAATTTATGCCCTTTCAAATGGTGTTTTACATATCGGAGGTGAAAACTAAAAAAATCAATCTCCCTTACTTTTCTTAGAATTCACTAGATCTTTATGCCGAAATGCAACTATATAGAACACAGCCTGGCATACACTGTAGAAAACCTGGTGGATCCTAACATCAGAATTTACACATTCTATTTCCTCCTGAGTAGATATATAAAAATGTATCCACTCTGCCAATTGTTGCAAGGTTCCCTTCAACATACTAAAATAAAATAAAAAAAGTAGGTATATGAAAATAAATGAAAAACAATCAATCATAAAACTGATTATGAAACTTTTGAATCAGAATGGAATATTAGTACAAGGCGTTTCATAAGAATAAGCAGAAAATATCGCATGTTAGTGTAATGTTTCAAGGAAAATTCATAATTTATGTCAAATTGTTAGGTTACTGAGATACAGGATGTTTGAAGTCGTATTGCTGGAATATCTCAGAAACAAGATAAGATACATAGACATTATGCCTGTTCCGGCGTGTATTCCTTGTATAACCATCCCCTGTATATTTTATAAATGTTCGATTAATCGAGGGGGGGGGGGGGGGGAAACATTGGAAAAGAGGGATGTCAAAATAAATAATAATGTGATGTCAAATCAAAAATATCATTGAATAATAAGTTAGGATTTTCGATATAAAGTATTGTAATTCAATCGAGTTTGTAACAAGCCGTAATAATGCCTTTTATAATATAATTGGGTGATAACAAACTCATTCAAATCATATTCAATAGCTTCCAATCTAAAATTTTAAGTTTATGAAGTCTGAATGAAAATACAGTATTTTGATAAAAATCGCGAATATGGTAGATAGATGAGTACTAAATTAGTAAGGGGCTCATACAATAGGCGAGTGGACTAATTTTTTTCTATTTTCTAAATGGAATCATCACTCAAATACCTTTCGATTTCATATTTGAGAATTTTTTGGTCGATTTTTAGGTGCTAAAATCATCAATGATGCCACGGTAATTTTCAAACAGCTAGAAATTTACCGCCAGTAAAAACTGACGCCACGATTTCGTAAGTAGGGGCAGACCATCGCACAGTTGCCATATGTTGAAATACGATTGGGACCTTCAGAAATAATATTTATTCAATAATTCATAAATTCTCAATCAGGTATTGGCGATATTCCCAATTAGCAATAAAAATTCAATTGTCTCAAAATGTTCCCTTACGACTTGAGGCATATTGCTTATAATACATTTGTGTAAATAAAAATTATATTAATTTACAATAGAGGACATTTGAATCGGTGAACGTGACAACAGCGCACGAATTGTGGGCGTGGTCTTGTCAGTTCGCAGCATTCAGCACAATATTGCCAAGTCTCCAACATTTACATGATATTTTGTTATAGAGAATAAGAATTATTTGGACATTTTGGTTGCTCCAAAAAGTCAAAAATGAACTATTATATCATGGGTTCCTCCTATTATGTTCTATTTATTGACATGACTCCACCATCTTTTTTAAACTTGGTTATAATTAGTGACTTGACAACTTTGCTGCCTGAGTGGAAATTGAAGATTATCTGACCAATAACTAAACAGCATGAAAACTGACGTCACAATTTATTTGACGTATCGCCAAATGGCGGCCATGACGGTTCGTTAGAAATTAGTTCTGAAATTCAACAATTTTGAACAATGCATAGACACATTATTTACGTAAAAGAAGCGTCAATTCGTGATTTAATTCAAATGAATGTTGTCCAATAGGAACAATTCGCGTTATTATTTTTAATTTTAACTAGTTTAAACTGAACAGTCCAATGGTATCATTACAACCTCACCACCATAACCATCTGACAACTTTTCTAAGAAAAATTCTTGATAAGTAATTAAATGCATATGAATTCATTAATTTTTTTTCAATCAATAGTTTCAATTTGTTTTGCGAAAATTTTATGTTTTGTACAAGGCGCCTGACTGCTCTATATAATGGTAATTTATAGTTGCAACTGTAAATTATGCAAACATTCGTGAAAAAAAAAAGTTTTTTAGGGGCAGTTAAGACGCCTCATATTTTTGTTATATTATGCTTCAAGATTTGAAAATAAAAATACAACCTAGTTTTTTGTTACCTATTTTGTGATTTGTAAAAGTGAATAGAATATGGGTTTTTCAAAGTGAATTGATTCAAAAAGTCGGACTTCTTTATAAATCATGACTTATTGTTCCAACCCTGAATTATTTCCATGTGATTGAAATATTTGAAGAAATATTCTAGTAACTGGTAAACAGTAATGTATCAACTGCATTAAAAGGATCAAAATTGTATAGGTGGATATTTACAGTATAAATATTCTGAGAAATGATAACAAAAAATAACATACAAATCCGGAAAATGTAATTATTAAACATGAATCAATATAAATATTTCAAACTCAAATATTATAATAAATTAGTTTGGCAATGGATATGAATAGTTAGATGAAATTCAATACTTACGATAGAGGGACAAAGTTTGCTCTAGCCACCAAACTTGCAATATAATTCACTGACGCCTGTCTCAAAACAGGCGCCATATTTGGATCACAAACTTTCTTCCACAAGAAATTCAAAAAGGCTTCTGCAATGGTAGCCTTGAAGCAGCAAATCAAAAACATAACATACTGAACATGATGGGTGTTATATGTTGGCAGAATTATTTTTTCAAATACTGGTATCATATTGTGATACAAAGTTTTTGTTTTCTCCCAGTCAACTTCTCCTGTATTGGCATCATGACATTCAGATATTGCATAGTTAAACATTTTATCAAGACAAATGTCTAAAGTGTGTGCTAAACTATGTCTATTTACTTGAGTAAAAGCTGTAGTTGAAGTCTTAACTGATCTGACATCATCATCAACACTGAACATTTCTTCCTCAGCATTGAGATACCTTTCTATTTCTTCTCTGGGAGCGTTCACGTCCATTATGACTAACCTAGAGAGCAGATGAGGTTTGAGTAGTTCTTAGGACAAACTAGAAGGTTTATTGAACTTGGGTTCAAGGAACATTTATCACATAAAAATGAATTATAATCTGATGAAACAAGTTGGGAAGTGAAACAAATATAACAAATGATTGGTAATCAAGTTTCAACTGGATAGTGACAGAAGATAATTAATTTTTTATTCTCCTGGAGTGCCTTTGAATTCCTATTTTGTGGGGTGGAGAACTGATCTACCTTCAAAATTCGTCAGATTTTGTATACATATTCTACTCTGTGACTGTCATATACATACATTTTTGAACTTACTAAAAATTTTGTTCAAATACTACAAAGAATAGTAATCAACTCAAGAGATTGCTAAGAGTAATAGAGTAATATGAACAATCCTTTAACTAACCTAACTTTACTCTGAAAGTTAATAATAGCAGCTGCAGTTAATGAGTTGGTAGTACAAGAGACAAAAAAAACTTACTTGGAGAAAAGTAACCTCAAGATATCAGGGCGAATTTTCGGCTGATACTCTAATATCCATAATACATTGTGAATATAATACTCATGTATATGTGTTGATTTGTTATAGTAGGGAAATTGACTAGTTACTGAGGATATTAACAATTCTGTACACCTAGAATCAAAATAAAATATTTCAACAACTGGATTAATTCTTAGATTATAAGAAATTTTTCCTAAGATACATATTTGATAATTTAATGAACTAACTGTCCTTGTTTTCCAAAGATTTGTTGTTTCAAAGTATTTTGTTGAATTATTTACTTACATAGGGACTACTGCTAATAATAAATTTATCAATGAATGAATATTGACACATTTTATACAATCAGTATCAGTAGGAACCCCTTCAGGCCATTCTGGTTCATTGGGATCTGAAATAAAAATAATATTTTCAATAGGGTGCTTCTTGGCAATGGCATAACACTTGGCATAAAATTTGAAGTACAAGAAATGCACTTGGGCAAATCTGGTGTTATTTTGTTTAGGAAACTATATTTTGTTATGGATATTTTTGTCAAAACTTCTATAAGATAGATAGGTAGATATATACATATATATGAAATCATGGTGTCTCCTGATTTTTTAACATTCATTTTGTTCCTTTTTCACCCCTAAAATCAAAAAAATATCAGAAATCTTTCATCTCATAGGAAGTCTAACTCTAGAATTTTCTTGACAAAAAATACCAAAGATATACCCAGAAATGAAATCATGCTGTCTTCTGATTTCATGGCATTTGATGTACCTCTTTTTCATCCCAAAAACTGGGTTGAAAAGAATTCCATGATATATTATTTGTGGAATAAAAATCTAGATGGAGAAGCTTACCAGTGTCTACTTCCAGAATCCATATTGGTGATTTTTTTTAGAAATAGGTCACTCTATTTATGTTTCATTATGAATTTTTTTATTCACTAGTGCTTCTCTCAAGGCATTTTCATCAAGGACACCCCATGTTTGACTATTTACTTACATGCATATTATATGGATGCCTTGATATGGATGTGAAGATTATCATTAATATCATCATTGGGAATATAAAAAAGTATTTTCACAAATTCAAAAATATGTTTTCTAGACATTTTTACTTAGATATATATGGCTATCCCTTTTGTATTTGCTCCTATTCTATATCATGGTACCCCACTATCAACTAGATTTTGTTGAATATTGATATTGTGCAATGTTACTACATGACTCAACATGCATGCTATGAAAAACTCACCTGGTATGAAGAGTTTAACCAATTTTTCTATAACCATCTTAGCATGATAGTTATGAGCTGACAATAGGTTCACTATGAATGATTGATATTCTGACACCACAATAGCATTTTTATTAGTCCAATCTATTGAAAGCAGAGCTTCTACGAATAACCTCAACTCTTGATTGAGAATAGAGATACATTCTGTGGCTTCAATAAGTAAAGAAGATATATCTTCATCACTTAAATGTGCGTCCCTTATCAAACAAATTAGATTTTCGTATTCTTTGGAAAACTTGGTTTCCACATATTGTTGTAGAATTGTTCGTACTTTTTGTGAATGCGGCAAAACAAACTTTACTTTGCAAGGAGTATGTCGAATTTCACTTAATCTGCTCTTGAGACTTTTCGATTTCTTTAGAATAGGCGACGGCGATGGGTTTGAAGAGCCCTTAGTTCTTTGGGAATACACTGACATTCTTATTATCTTTAACCAGCAAGATGTTCAAACTGAAATGAGAGTGGCACTCAAGTTTCACTATTTATGTTTGAGTTTGACTCCTGGAGAGTGAAGTTTCACATTTTCCATAAGCTGCACTTGATATGGCACAAATTCTAAAATATCTACTAATGTGTTATTTCATTATTACACAAAAACACGTGTAAACCTTTTAAAAAATGTCACGAACACGAAAGAGTCTTCTTCTTATTATTATTCAATTCAATTCCACGATTCAATTCCATCAGATCCGGGCTATTTCCGAATTCAACTCTGACCTCTGATCACTACTGTCAATCAACTGTCAGTGTAGATTCTATAGGCCTGTTCGTTTGTGCTTGCTCAACCTGCTAAACTTGATTTTTTTCTATAGGGGTATTCCGGAACCCTCGTATCTGACTTCGTATATTTACGAAAATGGCCTACGTATTGTTACGAAACCTCAAACACGGGAACGACCCATGGATAGCAATTTCAACTGTCAGTTCATTCCGAAGCTTTCAGTACGAAATTGAAAAATTCAAATTCATCATCTGTCCACTTTTTATGAGGGCCTTGTTTCCTCTTGGAAACAGAGCTAGAACCGCATGACTGAAAATACAATTTCAATAATTCAAGTCCTGTTCCAAGATTGACACAGACATAGTTCTTGTTCTTATTCTTACCATTTTTAAAATACCTTTATCCAATTCAAAATGCTCAATACCAGAAATTAGTTACAATAAACAGAGGTATATTGTGCTTTATGCTCAGGCCACACGCAGCTCAAACATGTCTCAGAGCTTCTGTATGGCGAAGTCCTGAAGCCTTTGCACAGGGAGAGTTCTCTGGAAGAAATCCCCTAAACCCGCCAGGAGAAGATGACATGTCCTTAGATGGCCAAATGGCCGATACGCGGCTGGATCTTGTTCGTGTGATCTTGGGTTGGCTAGTGTTATCCTCCATAGGCAATGGAGTATGTTGGAATGGGAAAGATAATATTTATGGACACCAAAACTATTGGGGCAGAAGACGTCTCTTATCGAGCTCACGTCACTCACTGTCATTCACCTTGTTCTACCAAGTGTTCAGCAGTTCGGAAGACGTAGTCCGACGACATCCCTCCCCCCAAAAAGTTGACTTTATTGAAATTAACTAGATAAAGACAACTCAAAAGTGTAAGAATTTGTAGAGATATAAAAACCGAAAGTATGATTATATGACCCTAATAATTCAACAGTTTGAACATCCCAAGCATATTCTTCCCTGGATGGTTCGACGCAGTGGTCGAATACGATTATTTTGTACATTATCTTCTGCTGATGGTATCACCGAATGATTCTCCTCCTCATGCTCATCAGAAACAATATCAGGATCTTGAATATCACCCGCTTCATTTTCTTGATCAGTGTCACCTACTATATTCTCCTCTACGTGATGTTCTCTATTTTCCATTCCATGGTAAGGGCGAAGATCGTCCGAATGTACCTTCACCGTGAAGCCGTCTCTATTCACCTCATACGTATTTTGTCCGGAAACCGCAACGATAGGATGGGGACCAGTCCAAGTTCTGCCCAACCCACGATCAATTGTATTTCTAAATTCTCTCATCATTACATTTTGGCCCTGGTGAAACTTAACACAAGGTCTTCTTTGTTCGGAATTGTTACCTCGCCACAATAAATGGTTCTCATGAATTTTCTGTATTCGGTTATCTCTGTCTACTTGATTTGCTTCAAAATTTATATCCTCACCAGGTCGCGATAACTCTGCACCAAAAAGAGCATAACTAGGGCTCATGCCCGTAGCAGCATTTCTTCTGTTATTGAGAGAAAAACAAATCTTTGAAATTGGCTCATCCCAAGCCTGACTTCCGTTTACCAAAGTGTGTGCTCTGAGGGCTTTTTTGATTTCTTGATTTCTTCTCTCTACAGGATTTGCCCGTTGATGAAAGATAGGAGTATGATAATGTTTGACATGATTGTCTGTCATAAAGCTATGCCAAATCCTACTTCTAAATTGAGGGCCATTATCAGTTATTATGTTCTGTGCGAATCCCCACCGACAAAACTGGTTTTGAAGAAACTCGATGATCGCTTTGGTGCTAGCAATTGGAATCGCAACTGCTTCTGTCCACTTAGTGAAAGTATCCACTAGGACATTTTCTGTCAATGGATAAGGACCCATAACATCAACACTAACTACTTGCCAGGGAGTAGTGGGAGGTCTCAAATGCACTGGGGCATGCTCTTGTATACAACCCATCTTTGTTGAAGCACATATTTGACAGAGTCTGACGTGTTCTCTAACAGTTCTCCATAAATTACACCAGTAGTAGCGGTTAGAGATAGCTCGGAAAGTTTCATCTCTTCCTGGGTGCTGAGACAAAGGAGAATCATGGAAGTCGTAAAGCACACGTTGCCTTAGCTTTTTGGGTACCTCTAGAACGCGTTTTCCATCTTTTACATGCCAAAGAAATCCATCTTGTACTACATAATGGTTACGAAGTTCCAATTGACGCCCTTTAAGATTAACTGGATCTTGATTCTGCACCTCATTCCAATCTGCTATATCGGTTTGAATTTTCGTATCATCAAGTTGCTCTCGACGAACAGCCTCATCTAACGGTTCAGCTTGCAGTAAACCCAATACAATATTTTCCGGTGGTTGATCCTTTTCTGTAACTCTGGGTATCATTAAGCGGTCATCGTAGTTCTCCCTGGACAGATCTTCATGTTCTAGTGCTGGATTTCTTGACAAAAAATCAGGCAACTGATTTTCTCTGCCAGGACAGTGAACCACGTCATAGGTGAACTCTTGTAACAAAAGAGACCATCTAGTTAACTTTGCTTTATCATCTTTGAACTTCGAAAGCCACGACAAAGCTTTACTATCAGTCACTAATGTGAATGGCTGATCCTCGAGATACTGTCTATATCGCTTGCATGCCCATACCACCGCAAGAGTTTCTTGTTCGTTCACATGATAGCGTTGTTCTGCTTTGGTGAATCGAGCACTAGCGTAAGATATAATTTTTTTTTCATCATTTTGGCCTAACTGGAACAATACTGCACCCATGCCCCTCTGTGATGCATCTGTCTGCAAGAAAAATCGACTGTTTGAGTCAGGTCTTTGAAGAACTAAAGGTCTGGAGAGCTCTTTTTTCAGTAACTGGAATGCATCTTCACACTGTAGAGTCCATGAAAACTTTTTCCCGATGATATCCGTCAATGGAGCTGTCAATGAAGCAAAATTAGGAACGAATTCCCTCAACCAGTTGGCAGTACCCAAAAAACGCTGCAAATCTTTCAACGATTTAGGACTAGGATAATCCATTATTTTGAGTTGGTGTTTTTCTAGAGGCATATTGAATTGTCCATCGATATAATGGCCCAGGTACTCTAGGTGCGAGGTGGCAAATTGACATTTTCCTAAAGAACACCGTAACTGATGAATTCTCAATCGCTCGAGGACCAGTGTTAAATGACGTAAATGGTCTTCATGATTTTCAGAATAGATTATGATATCATCAAGGTAAACTTTAACGAATTCATCGATATATCCGCTAAGCACTTCTGTCATGAGTTTCTGGAATGTGGATGGTGCGTTTTTGAGACCAAAGGGCATTACAAGAAATTCATACATTCCGCCATCAGGTGTTCCGAACGCAGTTAGTGGAATACTCTCTTCATGCATTGGTATTTGCCAGTAACCACTTCTTAGATCCAACGAAGTAAAAATGTTGCTCGTACCTAATTCACGAATAGTTTCACGAATAGGGGGTAGTTGTGATACCTCAGACTCGGACTGTTCATTCAGTTGGCGATAATCAACACAAAAACGGGGTTTGCCATCTTTTTTTTGTACAATAACAACAGGTGAGCAATAACTGGAATGGCTTCGTCTAATCACTCCTGCAGCTAGCATTTTTGTTACTTCATTGTGTATGGTTTCTTTTTTCTGAACTGAATACTGGTAACGACGAATTTGGAAAGGTTTGTTATTTCGCAGATGGATATGATGACTTGTTGTTCGGGTTGTAGGCTGACGCAAACCTTCTTCGAAAACGTCGTTGAATTCTTCTAATTTTTCAAGATATGCTTCTTTATGGTTTTCAGGGATCTGTTCATCTTTCAAAGGTAAAGGATGTTTATTTTTCGTGGATTTATCCTGAAGAAAAGACCAGTATACCGTGGATCTGAATCTCCTACCAACATAAATACAGCTCTGTACAAAATCTAAGATAACCTCGTTCTGTTGCATCCAGTCTCGACCAAGAATCACTTCCTCGGTTATTGATTCGAGAATCAAAAATTCAGTTGACAGTTCTTGATTCCCAACAAAAATTGTTCCGCAACATTTACCTGTTGTGAATAGATGGTGCTCGGCTATAGCTACTTTAACTTGAGTATGGTCATCGATAATTTTGAGTCCTTGAACGAATTTTCTTTGTATAAACGAATGAGTAGCGCCGGTATCAAGAAGAGCTAAAATAACATGACCATTTATTCTAATTTGAATTCTAGGAGATTCGATCTTAGCAGAAGTCAATGAGTTCAATTCTGATGGGGACGGGGTTCTCGCCGAGCACCGTCCCCCCTGGAGTTTTCCGAATGCTGACTCCTGGAATTGTCGCGGTGAGGACAATCTCTGTGAAAATGCCAAGCACCACATATCCTGCATGCGGACGGAGGATTTGAATCAGTTACATTTCGATGATGTGTTTGTCTGTAATGCACAGAAGGTTCAATTTCCTCATTGATCTCCTTCAAATCTGTTTCAATAATGCTCACTGCTTGGATGAGGCTGTCCATGTCAGAAAAATGTCGACCTCTCAAACTCAATCTAATTCTAGGAGATAATAATTCGCATGATCTTATTATCATCAGGTCTTCAGATAAATGCGGTTCAAGACGGTGGAATAAACCTCTTTTTCTTGTCAAAAATACTGCAGCCGGTTCATTTTTCTGTTTCTCGCTGTATAATTTTGCGTGCAATTGACTAAGTCGTGCATCACTATTGAATTTTTCGACAAGCCTGTGAGAAAATGCGTCGAAGCTCATTTCTTCGTATTTATAATGTTTGAACCAAATACTAGCTTCACCTTCAAGATACTGTTGTACAGTTGTCGTCCATCTGGATTCTGGAAGATGGCTTTCTTGCAGAAATATCGTTATGTCTTTCAAAAAAGTATTTGGATCTTCCCATTCGCGTCCTGCAAATGTTGCTGGCGATACCTTCTGATCACTGTTCAATTTATCCCACATTCGTTCGGTCAAAACAGCAAGCTGATGAATCGCATTCTCGGGGCGCCACGTAGTTTTTATATCAGAACTACGAAACTCATTTGGGTCGTGATTTGGGTTCGGGTCGATCTCGCTAGACCGACTACTAATATCCACACGTTGGGCGCCATGTCTCAGAGCTTCTGTATGGCGAAGTCCTGAAGCCTTTGCACAGGGAGAGTTCTCTGGAAGAAATCCCCTAAACCCGCCAGGAGAAGATGACATGTCCTTAGATGGCCAAATGGCCGATACGCGGCTGGATCTTGTTCGTGTGATCTTGGGTTGGCTAGTGTTATCCTCCATAGGCAATGGAGTATGTTGGAATGGGAAAGATAATATTTATGGACACCAAAACTATTGGGGCAGAAGACGTCTCTTATCGAGCTCACGTCACTCACTGTCATTCACCTTGTTCTACCAAGTGTTCAGCAGTTCGGAAGACGTAGTCCGACGACAAACAATGAATCATAATTTTGAATGATAACAAATAACCCTAACCTCACCACTTGAAACCGGTCACGGGGCAAAATTCTGTCAGAACAGTTTCGTAAGAACGGAAATTTTGTAATCTTACACAAGAAAATGGTAGTGTAAAGTTACGAAGGACCGCGTATCCTAATCGACCAATCAGATTAGTTTGCTGAATACGACGATACGAAAATACGATAATACGAAGCATTATACGAGGACCGGGAATACCCCTACTGACTTTCTTTGTTTACATCATGGCATGAACAGAGACAACTATGGGAAAAACATCAACTTTAGCCAGTTAGTGGATTTACTGACAGTACTGAAAGTTTGACACTGACGACATTGACATTGACGACTACTTTGACTTATCACTCTTATCAGTGACATCAGACATCAGAGTCATCAGACAGTTCATCTGCATTTTCAGCTGAAGCAGGCAGGGTCAAAAATTGAAAAATCAAAATATTTTTTGGAACCTGATCGAAATTATTTATTTCTTATCGGATATTCAGAGAAAAAAATCACAATGTCTCATCAAACGGGGATAAGAGGTAAGTAATACAGCAAATATTTTTCGAAAATCTCAGTTACCAATAATATTTTGCAGCAAATGAGCAACTGAGAAAGTTTTTTGCAAAATGTAAAGATGGCAAAATCAGAGTCGTCAAAGTGTCTATTAATGAAGGTATGAAATATTGTGGAACTATACTTATAGTATTAGGTCAATAACTAGTGTTATATATATATAAAAAATTTCCAGAACAGCTAGTTTTTGATGAACATAAAGATGTGAAAAGTAACTGGGAAAAGGACTATGATAAATACATAGCACCTCTCATAGAAGATAATCAACCTTGCTACCTGTTATTTCGGTAAAATCAGATGTGACAGTCTGTTCAAATATTGAGAATATATTATCTTTCTTCTTCATGTTTATATTTTCAGACTAGACTCTAAAAATTCTTCAGGGTATGAATGGTTGCTCATTAGTTGGTCTCCAGACACTGCACCAATAAGGCAAAAAATGTTATATGCTTCTACTAAAGCTACTTTGAAACAAGAATTTGGTTCATCACATATAAAAGAAGAAATACATGCAACTATCAGTGTAAGACCAGTTATTTCACTTCTATCTTGGTTTGAAAAATGAACAAATAGGTATGCTGTATGCTTACCAGTTTGTTGAACTTTTTGGGAATTCTTTATGTTTGTAGGACAAGAAATCAAAATGTTTTCTGCTGATGATATTGTTAACATTTACATCTTCATTTACATAATACTCTCCTATAAGAAAGGAGTAAGACATTCCACAAAGTTGGAGTCTATATAATTCTATGGAGTGTGATTGTGAAACAACATATAAATCTTCTTAATGATATGCCTCTGATAAATGTTGAATATCCGGATATTCCAAATTTCAATATATCTATAATGAATTTCCAATCATATTTTTAGGGCATTATTTTTGATTTATATAAATAAATGAACAATCTTTATGTTCCAATATTTAATTTCAGACTGAAGTTACCCTCAATGGCTATCTCAAATATAAAAAGTCAGCTGCTGCTCCTGCACCATTATCAATGAGGGAGGAAGAACTTCAGGAAATAAAAAGAACTGAAGTTCATACTGATATAGGTGTAACTACTAAACACCAAACTTTAAGTGGAGTAGCATTTCCAATAACTAAGACAGCTGAACAGGCTATTTTAGATATGGCAAGGGGCTCTTATGACTACATACAATTTAAAATAGGTTGGTATTTATTTTACTCCTTACTCACTGTTGTGTCTAGAAATCAAAATTTTAAATAAATTTTTCTGACTATTGACAATTGATATCTCTACCCACCCTAAAACTGAATATTTTCTTACTTAGATATTGATGAAGAAGAAATACACTTAGTTGGTGCTGAAAATGTCTCTATAGAGAAGCTACCTTCAAAAGTTCCTAGTGATACTGGACGATATCATTTGTATAGGTTTAAACATACTCATGAAGGTGACTACACAGAAAGTATTGGTAAGGATATTCAGAAAATCGTTTCTATTTGTTTGGATTATTGTATAATTTGGGAATGTTGATTATTATAGTATTCATATCATTAATTTATTCTAGTGTTCATATATTCAATGCCTGGATACAACTGTCCTATTAGAGAGAGAATGTTATATTCAAGTTGCAAAAACCCTTTAACAGATAGTATTGCGAATTTAGGATTGGAAATTGTAAAAAAAGTGAGTACCTATCCATTATTATTCTATCATGAAATGAAAGGTAGAAAATTAATGTGAAGTTCTTTGGAATCATTTTATATTGAAACATGATTTTTCTAGTCATATTCCTTCACACACACACACACACACACACATTACATTAAGTATCAGATTATCCTTATTTGATATTCTACAAAACAAGCCTACTGGAATATGAAAGTTTTTTGATTTCACCCATATACCTTAACGCTAGTTATCATTCATAAAGCGAACGGTATCAAAATATACACTTTCCTTGCAAAAAATCCAGTAGTTGGTTTTATTATCGTACCCCATATTTTTTGAGGCGCTGGATCCAATTATGGAATTATCCAACAAAATGTCCTGGTGTGTTTTGAGATATCTGCTAAAAACAGTAGAATTTTCAAACTGTTTTTCACTTATAATTCCAAAAGTATGTGTAGTAGCGAAAAAACAAATCATACATTATCTGAAGAAGATTGAATTTGCCACAATTTGAGAATAACCCCAGCACTGTAGGTCCAATGGTTCCAGTTACAGCACTTCAAATATTGGTTAATTTTTCCAAAAAATGATATTTCAAGCATTGAGTCAACTTTTGAGCTAAATATTTGGGAAAATACTGATGGAAAAGTTTCAGACGTGAAGTTGAAGTAAACCTTTTCAGCTCAAATTCTTTTACAGAGCAAAGTTAGTAGATCAAAAGATTTTTTTTATGTTCTGTTTCTCACAAAAAGGGATATCCTGTGCGAAAAACAAAAAAGATATGTTCCTTGAACTGGTGGCTGATGTTTGTCATCTAGATCTTAGAACATTGCTGCAGGATGCTTCACATGGTTCATACATATTAGAGCATATTAGCCCAGCTTTCTTGCACCCGCACATTGCCATTGTGCATCCTTCTTTGCACTTGCATTGCAGGAGGTTGGTAAGAACTTATAGGATGTCGGTTGTTGCTTGTTTGCCACCTGAACTAATCCAGCTCTTTCCATGAAACTGATTGATCCATCCATAGCTGCACTTACACAATGTTGGTGTGTTGCAGCTTTGGTTGGGGAGTGGCGATATTTGATGAGGATTTATAAGCTGTAGTTTTATAACATTTGTCCCGATGATCCAACTGGCAGCTATACAGGGCTTTTCACGATGAGCGTTAATTAGACGTTTCTGCCAAACCAGAAAACGGATCATTTTGAAAATTCAATAGAGGGCATATTCGGAAATTCTCTAGCCAACTAAAATATTTTCGACAATGTGGTGTTGCCGCTTCTATTAGAAAGCAGTAGCAACTTTGATTTTTCAAATAGAACACTCTGTATTTTATTGCATTTTTAGATCCTCCCTGAAGAGCTGATTTCATCGATGTATCACACTTGGGGTCTAGCGGAAATGATTACAGAGATATAGGGTGTGAAAAATCGACATTTTTCAACTTTAGGAATTTTTTTTGTCGAAACTATTCATTATTGGTCAAAACGGCTCACATGTCCCTATCTCAACTTTGGATCAACTGTCTACTAACATTTAATTGAAACAAATACAGGGTGGTGCAGAATTCAGAATCTTGATCACCCGGTATATGTCCCAATTAAATATCAGTAGATAGTTAATCAAAAGTTGAGATAGGGACATGTGAGCCGTTTTGACAAATGATGAATAGTTTCGACAAAAAAAATTCCTAAAGTTGAAAAATGTCGATTTTTCACACCCTATATCTCTGTAATTATTTCCGCTAGACCCCAAGTGTGATACATCGATGAAATCAGCTCTCCAGGGAGGATCTAAAAATGCAATAAAATACAGAGTGTTCTATTTGAAAAATCAAAGTTGCTACTGCTTTCTAATAGAAGCGGCAACACCACATTGTCGAAAATATTTTAGTTGGTTAGAGAATGTCCGAATATGCCCTCTATTGAATTTTCAAAATGATCCGTTGTCTGGTTTGCCAGAAACGTCTAATTAACGCTCATCGTGAAAAGCCCTGTATATTTCTCCAGCTGTGAAGATAGTATTGACATCATATTTTTTTTGTCTTTGAGTTAGAGGGACAGCAGAGGAAGTCTGAAGTCGGGGTTTTTGTCCACTTTCCTTGGTTAAATAAGGCGGATGTCATATCACAGCCACTCACAGCGAGCAAAAAGATGATGTATTGAGACAGTCCTTTGATCAATGCTGTGTTTGGATGAAACTATGTACACATGGCTGTGTCTTCCTTATCTGGGGAAGTAGACGTTGGCTGTAGTTGGCGCGCGTATCGAGAATGGGCGAGTGGACTGATGAATTATTGGCATTCAGTTACTTCACTGTGTCGTTGGGTACCTAAATTAATTTTTGCGACACTTCTCACGCTTTTTCATGTAAATAATTAGTATATGCGTTGTTCGAAATCGTTGAATTGCAGAGCTCATTTCAAACGTACCGTCATGGCCTCCATTTGGCAATGCGTAGAATAAATGGTGATGTCAATTTTATTGCTGTATCGTTATTGGTAAAATAATCTATCATTCCCGCTCACGAAGCAAGCTTGTCAAGTTATGTTAGAGTCCTGCCGTTGAATAAAACATAATAGGAGCTGAGAACTGACAAGACCACGCCAACAATTCGTGAGCCGTGTTGTCACGTTCACCAGTTCGAATGTCCCCGAGTGTAAATTAATATAATTATTATTTACACAAATGTATGATAGCAATAAGCCACAACACATGAGGGAAACTTTTGAGACAATTGATTTTTTATTGCTAATTGGAAATATGGTCGAGAATTCATGAGTCATTGAATAACTGATATTTCTGAAGTTTCCAATCGTATTTCAACATAATTATGGCAACCGTGTTATGGTCTCCCCCCACTTATGAATTGTGATTCATGTTGGAATGAGAATTGGATGTCTCAATAATTTTATCTCGATATTTCATTATTACAACGAATTTTCAGACATCACTAAGATATTTTATGTTTCAGTCTGTGAACAATTAGATAATCGGAACCATCTGAATAATATTGAGTAATATGGAGGTACGTTAATGATATGAGCAGAAAATGCAAATGCACTTGGCACCTTTACGATTCTGCAGGTTCAATCAGTTCATCGAATTCTACAACATACTGAAAATTCAGAAAATTTCACCGAGAACCATTTTACGTACTAAAGTGCGAGGTCCTTTTGTTGGATAATTCGAGATCCGGATTTAGCAACCCGAAAAACATAGGAAACGATGATAAAATCGACAACTGGATATTTTGCATCATAAAACTACCATTTTCCAGAATTAGCATTAGAAAACCAACAACTTTTTGCCGATCTGCAGACGTACCCCTGCAGAAATGGAAGAGTAGATAATGTTGGTTCTCAGTTTTAAGCGATATTAAATTCATGAAAACCACTTGATCGGCTTCTAAAAGTTCGTTGACGAGGCCTTAGGTCACAGTGGTAATTTTGATATAATAATACATAGTCCTTTATGCTGTTTTTGTCAACTGTCAACTGTGGAATTTTTTCAGCTTGAAATCGACTCTGGTGACGAATTGACTGAGAAATTTCTATATGATGAACTTCACCCTACCAACAGCCTTCATCGGCCGAAATTCGAGAAACCAAGAGGTCCCCCCAACAGGGGGCCTAAACGTATGACCAGGCATCAGTAGAATGTTTGATTTAGAGTATTATTTTCTAGCTATATGTACTTCCTGATTGTTCCTTATTCGGTTAAATCGACTATTGCTCAAGATGATTTCATTCAATGGTGCGCAGATCGATAATAGATCCTTGAAGACAATATTTTTTCATATACACGAACAAAAGTCCGTCGAACAATTAGTAGGATTTATTGGTATTTTTTTATGCAAGAAATGGTACTGGTATTCCGAATTACTGGACAGCTGGACGTCTAAAACATCAGGCCATATAATATTTCTCAAAATTTTCGATCATATTGTTTCAATTCTAATTGGCAATATTCATTTTCAATTCATCATAATTTGTCTAGGTAGAGGACAAACGGGTTTTCGAATATTTTAATATCAGGATTTTGTAAGTAGTGCTCAAATATGTTGTCTTTACTTAGTGGCCCTGAAGAGTTGATAGATAAACCTCTGGCTATATACAAATTTAAAAATATTTGCATCTTTGATTTTTTTTTCTCCTCATTCCGTCAAAAATAGTTCTCTTTTATTGCTGAATACAGATGAATCAGGTTTCTCCATCAAATGATGAAAGCAGATTTGAATTGTTTTGAATAAAAAAAAAATTCACCCGGATTTTTTTCGGATACCAGCCAGCCATGTTTGAATGTCTTTCTCTAGCTTACCATCTAGCAAGTAATCTTTCGTCAAATACAGTTTAGTGATTTTGGCGTGATCCAGTATTACTCGAGGTATTTTTTGAATTCTATAAAGCTGAGTTGTATTTTTGCCACTATTCAATTATCATCATCTTCTGAATATTTTGAAATTATAATGTTATACCTTGCCTGTGCAATTCACTCGGCAATTCATTATACAAATTACTGATGAATTATGCCTAGTATTTATATAGCTTATATTTTTATATGATACAGCTCATGATTTCTAAAAAAAACATTTATATGTGGAAACTATTAGTTATTTTAATAAAGCATATTATTTATTGATCAAAAATTCATTTGCTCATATAAAAAATGATCTTGGTCAAGACTGGTCATGAAATCGAAAATGTCAAGTTAACTGCCCTATATTGACATCCCAGGCATCATGAAATTATTGACATAACAATTATTAAAAAATCCATGATGATCTTTGTCCTAGATAACTTCTGATATCTCTTTTATCGCCCTTCTAATCATCAAATCCATTATACATTCACATATTCCACTGAATAGTTGTAGATTTCGACAAATATTTTTATCATTCTCGAATGTTTTTTTTTTCATGAAACAGTAAACTGTATTTTTGAAATGAAAAGAATTGAAGAAATCTCATCAGGCATAGGGATCATGATTTTTTTACAATGTCTTTTGGGTCTTGTGGAGGAGCTCGAGTCCTAACCCCCCCCCCTTGGTGCACCAGTCTGTTAACGTCAGAGTAACTGGTTGAAAAGAGATTCATTTCCTCATTTTATCTCTGGAACAGATATCGCATTCTAAGGAACGCTGTGGTACCGATGCCAAATTGACCATTTAAGAGGATTATTCGGATGTTACATTTTATTCACTGGCATAAACAGATTATTGCAAAAAATTAAGAAGTTTTATAACAATAATTTATCGAAAATAAATCAACTGCTCCACAGGAAACGTCATTTGACGATGACTTGAGTAATTTTTACTTGGATAAAACAGGAGGCACCTTTTTTATCACTGTAAAAATTCCTGTTTCTCAAAACCATATTTCATCTAGTAGGTTCGCGCCTGATGTAACTCCAATTTCTGTCGTGTCAAGTTTGATTGTTGAATATTGTTCTCGCCTAAATTAGCAAGATGAGCCATTTTAGGAAAATTTCATCTGAAGAAACCAGGGAAAACATAAAAATCAATTACGCATACTACAAGAAACACGAAATCATCAATAATAGGTAATTATTATTGTTTATTCGTATATTGTCGTTGATTTATCTTGCAAAAAAAACTGATTTTTTTTTATTGGATAAATTTCCCTACTAACTCAAACATTTTCCATCAGTAATTTCTCTCGAAAAACTGACATAAGACATTTTTTCATGTCAGTTTTTCTCGTGAAATTACAGATTGGCAAATGTTTTTCGTTAGGAAGAGAAATTTATCCGATAGAAGGAAAAGCTCTTATGTTTTTCTGTTTTGGCAGCATATTGAATTTTTGCCTGAAGGAACGAGATGTGGGTAGCCATCTTCCCTACGAAGAGGATGGGCAAGGAATTACTTTCCCCTCTTGCGTCAGGTTCCGGTTTGCCCCGTTTTTTCGAAGCCTTACCTCGAAGGGGTTTTTTCCCCTTGCCTGTAATGGTCGTTTTGGTTTCATTCGAGAGTTTTGACAAAAGCGAGGACAAAAGTCTCCGAGCTCGCATTCTCCTCCAAAGTGGATTTATCCACCTTTTTGGGTCTTGCGATTTTGCCCGAAGACTCTGGCTCCGCTTCCGAAGCCGGATTTTTCTCCGTGTTTTTGAACCGGAATTGCACCTGTCCAAAACCGAAGTGTGGGCGGAAGTGTTTTCGTTCCAGTTAATTAATGGATCCATCGTCCATTGAAAAAGTCCACGTCTGTCCCGTACCTGCGCTTTCCCTGTGTAGTATAGTCCACTCCTGGGTGCGCAGTGTATGGTTCATCTTTCGTAGACGATTTGTCGCTGTTCCCCCATCAGTCAAAAGACAAGCATGCCTTTTCTCTAGAATACCTTTCAAGACATCCATTCGATGCTTGGTATCACTATCAGCGATAACCTTCATTGGGAAAATCACGTGAGATCAATTGCTAAAAGTGCATCCCAAAAACTTGGTTTTCTGGTTCGGGCCAGGAGCTATTTCACTTCCAGTCAGCTGCTTATGATCTATAAGGCACATATCCTACCTGTCCTGGAATACTGTTTCCATATTTGGAGTGCAGCACTCAAACATACCCTGAAACTGTTGGATTCTGTCTATAAAAGGGCAATTCGCCTGTTGGGTGATGCCTCGCTCACAAACTAATTCACTTCTCTGGAACACCGGAGAAAAGTTGTCGATTTGGCTCTAGATATTTTCATGGACGATGCTCTTCTGAAATATCAACAATTGTTCCTCCCTTGGTAGTCCGCGAGATGAACTCGTCGAGTTGAGGTTTCGCACCCCTTCATGGTCACTTTGGAGACCTGCAGAACATCTCTTCGTTCATCCAACGAACAGCGAGGCTCTGGAACACGTTGCCAAGGGAGGTGTTTCCCGAAGCATATAACCTCCAGAAATTCAAGGAGAACACGATTTCCTACCTCATTTTCCTTGGTTCTCACGATGTTTTCTGAACATTACAGGATATCCCTTTTCGTGGCAACCAGGACATGAAAAAAAGTCAAAAGTCTGGTAGCCCTTCATCATCTATGATGAAGGAAACGCAGATGTGGGGTTTAGGTATGTCATTCTTTTTTACCAGCTTTGCCCTTTCATAACACTTCCTCCAGCCACTGGGCCGTCACCTTGTCAACGCAGGTGAGTAGGAGTAGTCCAGGCCGAATAGTGCAGCTCTGGAACCGGACTTCAGGACCATCGTCCGGTAGTTTGTCTACAGTGGCCATAACGGATCGCTGTAGCAATCGAAGTTGGTCGTTTGATAACTGAGCGTCCGGGTGATCCAGATGCAGCTGCGCTGCAGCTGCAAACAACTTTTTTGTTCTTTGGGGCACTCCAAAGTACGGGGTTTTTTTGCCGCCGCCTCTGGAGTGTTGCCCTACGAACGCGTTCACTTGCTGGCGGAAAGCGGGGGGATTGCTCCGCTCCTGTCTATCCATCCAGCTCTTTCAGGATTTGATCCAAGGTGGATTTGTATGGATCCGCGGAGCCGTTTCTGGGACCGGAGCCTGTACTAGGTATAGCAAGGAGCCAAATTACGTCAGCCCTCGATGAATGGGCGGACAAGGCACTAGGGGAATACTGGAGAAATATCACGGGTTGCAGGCAGGCCAAGGAATTCATGGCCGGTCCAAGCAAATCAAGGAAGGAGTGGCTGCTTGGCAGAGATCGCCAAGTACTCCGCCTCCTCATAGGAGTACTCACAGGACACAACAGGCTAGGCAGACACCTATCACTTATGGGAATAGAGGACAACGTCACTCCATTTTCTCGGCGAGTGCGAGGCGTACGGAAGGCTAAGATTTGAAATCTTTGGAGTAAACAAACTCCAACAGGAGGACTTGATTATATTAGAGTGGACGGACATACTGGCATTAATCAGAAGAACAGGGAGATTCGTGAAGGAAATCTAGGTGAAGGAAGCGTAGATATGTGGAGAGCAGGGTTTAGCAAAAAGGGCCCATCGGGGCCTACTTGCTTGGCTACAGCCTCCCCACCTACTACTACTACTACTACTGTATGGAACTCCGTTCTTGATCAACGTTTTCTCGTCGTGCCGGCAAATCTGACCTTGTCCAGGTCCAGAGAGGCCACCGCCTTGGTGACTTCTCCTCCTGTCGGGTCGTTTTTCTCGGGAGAGGGTAATTTCAAAGGTTCCCTCTCGGTCTCCTGCGAAATTAGAGTGCCTGAAGGGTCGAAAGTAGACGCCCCCTTTTGCACTGGTGCCTGTGCGAGGGGATTGCCCCCGTCGCCGATATCAGTTTTTTTTTTTTCGTAACTCATTGTATTCCCACGAGTAGCTAGAGAAAGTGGTCAGCTGCTCTAGAGCCCCGCATTACCGCAGCAAGGCAATGTATTACTAGAAGTCGCCTGGTATCCTAGAGGCTCCGTGGGAGCTACCATACCTGTTTGTATTCCCCTCGGCACGGGTCGCGTAACACCTTGAGCGAACCCTTAAAATAGCGGAAAATTTGGATGGCTTAAAGCAAAAATCCTCATCTATCTAGTTTGATTATGAAAAAAATTATCCCTCATAACCATGTCATGTCCTTCGTTGATCCGCGGGTGTTTATTCAGACACTTATCAGCCATTGGGACGCGCCGTGTTGGGGTTAAGGACATCCCGCATGGGCGACCTAAATGAGAGCTAACATTATTTATTGTCCACCACATCGCGCCACTGAAACTTGAGGTCAGAGTTGGTAGAACTGATAAATATACTTCTTTTCCTGTCATCGCTTCTGGAGCGTCTAATTAAGTAAAATCTATATTTGAATGAATTATTATTGATAGTAGGTTAATAGGTAATGATGAATGCATGGTACACTATATAAATTTTGTCTACTGGTTACGCCCATTTAGGTGAATGGATGGATGGATGGATCATTTTTTTTTCTTTGTTGAAAATACTACCAACTTGGTCGGATGGTTTATTTTTCACTTTCTACATGTTTCCTATCATTTAAATTTAAATTTTTTATATCTTTACCAGCTTCACCTACTTTGTCGTCATGTAACTTGATTACAGCGAAGTCTTCTTTTTCTAAATACTCCTCCATTCCTTTACGGAAATATTCATTTCGGTGATCTTTCCATTGATACTGCCAATATCGGGCATCTTCCATTGAAATACCTCCTAGTTTCAAAAGTCCTACTGTGGTTCCTCCACATATAAGGCCCAAAAGAGAACCTAAAAACAATAGGTATCAAGGAATAACAAAGTTTGAAACATGCCACCTCAAATTTTCATTGGATTTTGAAATTGTCCTTTTCTAGTAAGTGCTTCATTGAACACAAAATCAAGAACATAAGCAACCTAGAGTTAATATTTTAACAAAAAAAAATGATGAAACGGTATCTGGAAGAATCATATTATACTATATTATAAAATGTACTGAACATCAACAAATGCATGATTTGATGAATTTCCTTCCTCATGTTCACCTGATGTAATTTTGAAATGTTCCTCATATACATTCCCAAGGCAGCCAACTCAGCGAGAAATGCCCTGTATACATTTTTCATTACTTTCTTAATGAACTGAAAACTTGAATTGAGATCATAGGAATTAGCTGAAGCTGAACAAAAACTGTTTTCAGTTCCTAAATGCTTACTTGAATGGGTATTTACTTTTCAGTAAAACTCTATATTATTAACCTTCCATTGAATAATAAATCATAACTAGTATAACTACTTTGAAATTCTTCAATCCATGAGCCTAATTTTTTGTTTTATTCAAATTATATTATTTCTTCTTAACAATACTGAATATGATTTTATAATTATGGCCAGTTAAAAGTAGGATAATTACCTAAACCACCACCAACAATCCATCCACGGGGACCCATATTGAATTTGTAAAGGGCTCCTGTTAGACCTCCTGCAGCCACATATTCCATAATACCACATTTTCCTTTATAGACTTGCACAGTTGTTGCTATTCCTCTTGAAAATCATAGCAAGTTAATAAACTTCATCAAAACAATTAACAATATGGTGTTCATGAATATTGAATAGGTTAAAAAAACATATTTTTTCTGTGACGGGAAAAAACTTTGGCATTTCATCTCTGTTGGCAGGTTATAAAATGTCACTTTTCATAAATTACTTTTTTCCCTGATATATATCACATATATATATACACTGTTGTTGGCTTTTGTTGTGCTATAGTTCCGAAAAATGAGTCAATAATACCATCTCCAAGAAAGAACTGCAAGTCCTTTTATCTTCCATTCGACTTCGCTGTTAGGTATATTACTAAACAACTACTAAATTCGCAATTTTTTGAAATCAAATCACAAAATTAGACTGTCAGAAGTGACATCGATATTTGATTACTTTAAAAGAATGATAAAGATGCCTACAATGCAGGTGTCCCTACTGTTAAAAACTTGAAATTTCACATCAATAATTTTCAGATTTCAGAATAATGTAATATTTTCTCAATATTGATTCCTCCTTTCTTCTGTCACAAAAAAAATAGTGTATTATACATGGGAAAATATTAGATTTCAGCTCACAGTTTTTTGTCTCCCTCTGCTACACGTCAGGATACAACACAACCTGGAGCTAAAATCTACTACTTTTTTCCCTTGTATAATAAATAACTATTGTACTCCCCAAAATTTCTATAATAAATAGGCACTCACACAAAAGATGTACAAAACAGTGTTAGTCTCCAACCCCATTTGAAAGCTCCTTTACCAAAACTTATTGTAACTTTATCTTGTAGTTTTTGCTGAAACAAAATGTTTGTCTTGAATTGATACATGAACTTGAACTTTATCACTAACCAAAGAAATAATTTGTCATAGGTACCTTAGCTTCTAAATGAGTAGTGAACTTTGTTGCTTCATTGTTTTTCATGAATTCCAAATAAGCAGTTCTGCTGTTAATTATCCCTCCATACATTCCTCCAATGAAAGTGCTCATTGCTGCTACTTGTAAAATTGAACTTACTTCTTTCGAAATGCTACCGAACTCACTGAAACGTTGGGTTCATTTCATTATTGCTATTCTTATTTCATTGAAACAAACTCACTCCACTGAGAACATCCGTTTTAATCTATCAGAACCAGATTCCTCTACAGTTTTGTCTGCTTTTAGTTCAGTTTCTGTGAGATTTTCAAGTTTATCGACCCCAAATAGACTGGCAAAGGGAATGAAACTATATTTGATTCCAGTTTTCCCAACATTATTGATAACTCTGGAATTCATTTTTCCTCAAGAATTCGAAAATATTTCAAATGAAATATTTATTTTACATAATAACAACACTCCTTAACCTAACCTAAAACTAGATGACAGTGATGACCAGTGTTGCCAGATGAAAATTTGCTGGAGCAGTAAATGAGTGGGGAAAAAACAGTAGATCATCAAAACTAGGGTCCCTTGGTGGAAATTGACGTTAAAGTCATTTAGATCATTTAACGTCAATTTTCATCAAGGGACCCTAACCAAAACCACAGTATATTACGTGTCAAAACCGAATAGTAGATTTTAATAATTATTGCAATTTGCTTTTATGAACAAAAGAAAACATGAAAACCTATAATTATTGAAAATTACAAGAAGAATAACAACAAATAACGTGATAAATAATAAAATTTGTTGAAATTATAGAACCAAATTGGAAATAGAAAATTTTTTCATCGGTCTGAATCTGATAATTCAAGAATATTTTCATCATACATCTTCTCACTGTGATGCCCTATTAATTATCTGTAACATGTCATAATAAAACATCATGAGGATTGCCTTGAAGATGAATAATTTTTGGTATGGAGCCAACCCACAATGCTGGCTCAGCTCAAGGCTATTTAACTTAATAGCAGACCTTGGGCTCAGCTGGCTGTAAGAAAATAATATCCACTACAGACAGGATCCGACGACGTGACGTTAACTGATACCGTTGATTGATATATTACGCTTACGCTGCGTAATATATCAATCAACGCTGATACGTAGCATGTAGCCAACAGCTGATATGTTTATAGTCTCTAGGCATTTTAGCAACAGTCATACCTAATAAAAATTAAAAGCAGCTGGGAGTTGTGAATTGTTGATGGATCAATATTCTGATGCTCGCTACACAATTTCTACTACTGCTTGTGTTAAATTTTATCATTATTTGATTCTGCTTTTAGATTTACGAAAAAACAGTAGTTTTCATGCTTAAACAGGAGAACAGTAGAACAGAGATAAAAACAGTCGATCTACTATTAAAACAGTAGATCTGGCAACGCTGGTGATGATAACAGGACTGTTCGTGACCGAAAATATATAGTACTAGAATTACTTCGAAATAGTACTAGAATTAGGAATTTAGTACTGAATTTATTGCATTGTAGTAGTGTCAGGTATAGGTGATATAGAGTCCGACCACGTTAACTTTGGGACAGCATGTGACGCAACGCATATGCATATTATTCAATGCATACGCGACCATGTGCTGTCCCAAAGTTATCGTGGTCGGACTCTAAAAAGCAATAAAAAGTCCATAAAAACATTATTATGTACTAAACATCGAATCTAATATGAGAAAGGAAAATATCCTTTCTGCATAAAAAATGAAATGAGACTACTTTTTCTAAACAATCTTGAGATAATATTCAGTAGAGGCCTGATTTGCTAGGTACCATAATCGCATTATGCTGATTTATTTAAACCTCCGGAATATTTTTGAATGTAGAAAAAATTAAAAAAATTGTGTGGGTGAGTCAGAAGTAAATCGACCAACTGGAGGTTAATAGTAAGCCATCTCAAATTTGTCAGAACCATCAAACTATTAAAACAACAGTTTTCAATCAAGGGAAACCATGGCAACGTTTATGATATGTCAAGCAGTAACAAATTTCAATTATTTTGATAGATTGTTCAATACATAATTGACATCTTCTGATCATGGACTGTCGCACGTTTTGGAAGATGCCTTGTATATTCTGAATTACCATGCCTGCTGCTAAAATTCTAGCATTTAAATCTTCTACAGATTCTACAGGTGTAGAATAGACTTTGGATATGAGATACCCCCAAAGGAAAACATCTAGTGGAGTTAAATCGGGAGAACGTGCAGGCAAATGAACGGGATCATATCTACTTATCCACTGATCAAGGAAATTCTTGTCAAGAAACTGACGAACGGTATGCTGGGAATGGGATGGTGCTCTGTATGCTATTTTCACGTTTTGTTTTCATGTTTTGTTCTCACATCGCCATGATTGTAAACAAATGATCTACACGATCTTCACTTTACTGTTCCTCTAAAATCTCAACACTAATCTACACTATCAAATCAGCTGGTTTTCAGTGGTGGTGTAAATTACCCTACACGTGACTCTACCCTACACTGAAAGCAAAGGAACAAAACTATATGAGTTCTGTGTTTTCAATCAATCAAGTTCTGTGTTTTTCTTTGCTGTGATTTCCTAACCTACTAACCTCACTTTTTCTGATCCCTCGTTCACTAATCGAAACTATAAAGAAACTAATGAACCATATCATGCTTCTCTGATTGCGCAATATATTAATCATTATAATTTTCATCTATGGAAAAAACATGAGTCTATCAAAGAGCACAATTAATTTGGAAAAGAACTGGTATGAAACCACTGTTTATAAATACCCCTCAAATGCGACACCCTCCTTTGTAGAGGGGCATTACGAACGCCAAAGTGGATACACTCCCCTCGTAAGGGTACCGGACGTGATTCTATACACTCACAATGTCGACTGATTTTTCGACTGTTTGATCGAATGATCGATAAGTCGTTTTTCATGAATAAATGTTCGGAGAAGAGTAGAAAAATGATCTCCATTTGAATTTAATGTTCATGAAAACATCTTGAAAATCTCCATATTCCGTTAATCTGTCTGACAGATGTTGAGCTCCTAAGTGATGTGTCACAAACGAATATAGAGTTCTTGTGAGCACTGGTTCTGAAATGCTTGGATATCTGCCATAGTTTACATTGCTTCTGGAATATCCTGAAAAAACTCCAGATTAGTATTATGCTTCACTAATTGCGCAATATATTATTCATTATAATTCACAATTTTCAAAGAAAACATCTATTCCATAGAGCACCGCTTCTTTGAAATAACGACTGTTGCTTTCCTACAGTGCACAAATAATTTGGAAAAAACTGGTAGGTATAGAACCTTATTGATACATCACCCATCTTTCTTGCCGGTTCAATTTCAAACGAACTACCTTAGAGATTTTCAACTGATTGAGTTATTTAACCCTTAACCTGAAGTATCCACTTATAGTCTATTCTTGGAAGTATGTGTCTCACAGACACGCAATTTGAATAATACGGAAATCGCGCTAAATTTGAAGGAATAAAATTTGGCTATTGTTGTACCATCATTTATTGATATTTATCATATTGTCACAGTTAAAACAAAATAAAACATGATTGAGAAATAAAATAAAATAGGTCCTCGTCCCGAATGACTAATAATTAGTTGCATTACATTTCTATTCTATCAATTCCTGAACAAGCAGTATTCATCTATGACTGATAATAATAATGATAGGGGCCAGGTAGCCGTGCGGACAGAGTGTCTATATTCTAATCTGCATTCGCTTGCCGGTCGTGGGTTCGATTCCCATCGACTGCAGAAATGTTTCTGATGACCCAAGAAAGTGTTTGGGATCACACGTTAAAAGGTAAGGCCCCCGTCATTCCTTGCTCGCACAAGACTCTCGAAGACTTTTGAGGGTTGCTCGTATAAGGGAGCAACCGAATGACGGATAGAACAACTTCAACTTCAGATATCTGAAGTATACATGGAAGTAGGATGGAACATGGAATATACTAGAGATATACAGGTTCATTTGAAGCGATTATCTCAGAATTCTAACCTCATTAATTACGTGAGATACTGGGATGCTTCCATGAAAAGAGAGACATTAGATTTTTCAGGAATGATTTTTTTCCAAGAAAAATATTAATAGTCAGTGAATTGGATGTCCTGATTTCGAATCCGATGTGATTTTCAGCCATTCTTGTGGATGAATTGATGGCTGTGTTAGGGGCAAGGTTTTGATAAGCAGGGTTCATGCAAAAGATAAAGTACTTGCCACTAACCCTCCCAGCTGCTCAGTTAGGGTGTGGGTACGGTTCATGTATTTTTGAATTATATGAGTAACAGTATATAATGAAAGGGGTAAATTTTCCGGTGCGCCACTGATTTTTCGCTAGCCAAAATCAGAAACCACCCTGATGAAAGGGATAAACCACTGCTATCGGTAGAGTCAATAATTTACAAATATCTGGTAAAATTTACAAGTACCCTGGGGTTGATTAATGAAGAAATAATAGTCATACACCTTGAAACTATCTATTCAAATCATATGATAACACCATATATATTTATGTAAGTGAAATTGCATTCAAGAGAGCATTCAGATTTCAGATATATAGGTAGTTATTGTATATTGAATTAATGCAAATTTAGGGAAGGTCCTAAGAAGGGCTATTCATATGTGACGTCACGGGGATAGCGTACAACTTAATATTGACTGTAAAATATTATAGAGGTATATGGGGCATTCCCTTATGTTTTATGGTTTGACAGACTTATCTGAATGCTCAGTGGAGCTCCTATGGCGTTACTTATGACTGAATTCCTCTTCTCTCTGGTCAAGGCAATCAGGCCTCAACTGGAAGACTGCTCGTTGTCGAAGACACAGCAAAAACTGCAGGTATTCTTGTTAACCAATGTAGAAAAAAACTCTTGACAAGTAGTGTAGATGTATATGATAGATACCAGCACAAGTCTATGGTCCAGACATACAATGACCAGGGACTAGGATGAACAGTAGTACTAGAGTCCTAGTAGTGGGATGAAGCCTATGCCTAGGGCAAGAACTAGGACTAGGACTAAGACTAGCACTAAGACTAGGAGTAGGACTAAGAGTAGGAGTAGGACTAGGACTAGGACCCTCTTTTGTAGCTGAGGGTTATTTTAACAATTCCGATGTTGTGGATTGTCTGTGTCAGATATTTCCACAATGGTACTTGTTGGATAGACAAGACAGGAGCTTTTGGCTTTATATCCTGCAGAGCAGAAAATATGATTTCATTAAAAATACAAACATCCAATATTGGTCCGATACGTAATGAATCATATAATGTTGAAATTCTCCAAATCCATACAGAGATGATCGAATAATTCGATGGAGATATTTCAATCGGCCATACACTCCCACAAGTACCAAGGAAGAATCAAAAGTGAAAAATTGAAATGTCAGTCAGATATCAAAAATATGAAATGTCACTGCTGTCAATTGCATCGATTTATAGTGATTTATACGCGAAACTGATTCCTTAGATCATACAGGAATCTGAGAATAGTTCTGTGACATATTAAACTTAAATGAACGACAGTATTTTCGTGATGAC